CCTCCACATCTTTGACTACTGGGTTTCCCTGACTTCCTTTAAGTCCCAGATAAAACCCTGTCTTTTATAGGAAGCTTTCCCCAAATCATCTTAATTCTTAGTGCCTTCCCTCTGTTAATTATTTCCTATTTATCCTGTATATAGCTAGTTTGTATATGTTTGTTTGTTTGTTGTCTGCACCCTTAGGTCATAAGCTCCTTGAGGGCAGGGACTGTCTTTTACCTTTTTTTTGCATCCCTAGCACTTAGCACAGTGCCTGGCACCTAATAAATATTTATTGATTAATTCCAGATATAAAAGACAACTAGTACGAAGATGGGGAGATAGAAGATAGGGTATGTTGTGTACAGGGAACATTAAGAAGGTAGGATTATAAAGTGTGGGAAGATGTGTAATATAAAATGAGGAAAAATAACTGGCAGTTGCATCTAAGATGAATTAGTGAGGGGAATCGATTTAGGGCAGAGAGACCAATTCTGATTCCACTGCAACAATCCAAGTAAGAGGTGATGAGGTCCTGGGCTAGGGTGTGAGAAGGCGTTGGATAGCAAGGATGTTGTAGGGATAGAAACAATAAGTTTTGGTAATTGATTGGATATATCAGGTGAGGGAGAGTGAGGAGTTAAGGATAAAAAGGCGATTATGTTATAGAGTGGGTATAGTGCTGGATCTGGAATCAAGCCCTCAGTTAAAATTCTCTATCAAGCAGTGTGTCTGTGCAAGTCACAAAAACTCTTTGTACCTCAGTTTCCTCATCTGTCAAATGAGGGGATTGGACTAGGTGTCCTTCAACATTCTTTCCAGCTTTAAATCTGTGGTCCTATGATAAGCACTGAGGTTGTATACCTAAGAGTCTGGAAGCTTGGTTATGCCTTTTTAGAAGAGGAGTGGGTTCTGGGGCAAAGATAATGAGTTCAGTGTGGAATATGATGACTTTGAGATGCCCACAAGCCATTTCAGTTTCAAGAATTTAATAGGGAGTTGGAGATGTGGACTGAAGCTTGAGACAATACTAGATTTATAGATTTGGGAGCCAGTTGTATGATGATTAAATTCATGGAGTTGATGATGTCACCAAGTGAGAGAGTGTAGAGAAAGAATAGAAGATGACCTAGGTCAGAGCCTGGGGAAAAAGATATAGGGGGCTTGATGGCAATGAAGAACCAGTGAAGGAAACTGAAAAAAATCAGTCAGATAGGTAGAACAACCAATATAGGACAGTGTCATGAACGCCCATAGAGGGGAGGATATCCAGAAGAAGCTGCTCAGTAGAGTATATGCAAAATAAATGCTTGGTAATTCTGATGGGGAAGGTCCTAGCAACTGCAGCGATCAGGAAAGATTTCATGAAGAAGACCCCACTTGAGCAAGTATTGATGGAGTCTTGAAATTCTAAGAGGTAGAGAGGAGGAGGAGGGAATGTATTTTAGACATGAGGACTGAGCAGGGCAAAGGCACGGAAATGGGAGATGGGACATCTTGTATGAGAACAATGAGGAGAACAACTGGGTTGGACTATTGCATGCAATAAGGGGGAATATTTGCAATAAGGTTGGAAAAGTAGGTTAAAGGTCAGGTGTGAAGGGTTTTAAATATCAAACAGTGAAGTTCACATTTTATCCAAGAAGCAATAGGGAGCCATTGGAGGTTATTAAGAAGACCTGCCCTTTAGAAAAATCACTTTGGTAAATGGATTAGAGTGGAGGCAGTGAAATAATTGTATGAAAAATCTTTATAAACTTAAAATAAGTTTGCTTTGTAAATAAAAAAAACCAACTGTAAATGTGATTATTATTGATTCAACATATTTTCATATGGCCACCTATTTCAATGTGTAACACGTATAAAACCACTACAGCAGGTTAAGTGAATTTGTTTCATACTCTGGTTCTTAAATTTTTTTTTTTTACTTGATTTCAGAGAATAGAGGAGGGGATACAACAATGACAGCAACAAAAGGCCTGAATTAACTCAGCCTGAAAAGTATAACTATATACCCAAGACAAATTCTTTGGAAATTACTCTCCACCCTTTCTGCAATAAGAAAAAAAAAAACATGATACATCTTTGAGGCATTGGAGAGCTAGCAAGAGTTTGCAAGTGTCCTATTGTCAGAGAATTATGACAACAGTCTGAATCGGTTTCTAGAATTTGGTGTTAGCAAAGTTGCTCTGTGTGTTTCTGTTGAATAGTCACTCAAGATAATGATGTCATTGTTACCTAGATGGGGTGTGCCCCTGAGAGCAAGCCTTTAGCTTCACAGTCATTAAAAAAAGCACAAAAAGAAAAGACTCAGCAGAGAATGTCAAGCTGTGCCTTACACTAATGTCTAATACCATAATTATTTACAAGCAAAGTATTGATTCTAGCTTTTGAAATATACCAAGAAAACAGAGTATGGGACTATAACATGAAATGAATGACATATCCAATTGTAGATTATTTTAATTTTTAAGTTTAACAGTACACTCATTGCTAACAGGGCAGCTAGGTGGTGCAAATGGATTGAGTGCTAGGCCTGGAGTCAGAAAGACTCATCTTCCTGAGTTCAAATCTGGCCTCAGATACTAGTTGTGTGAGCTTGGGCAAGTTACTTAACCCTGTTTCCCTCAGTTCTTCATCTATAAAAATGAGCTGGAGAAGGAAATAGCAAACTACTTCAGTATCTTTGCCAAGAAACCCCCAAATGGAGTCAAGAAGAGTTGAACAGACTCAACAATAAACATTGCTAACGTATTTTGGTCAAGAATATGTCAATTTTCATGCTAAATGAAATGTTTCCAAATGGTGGTCACCATTCCAGACTTGCAATTGTTGTTGTTGTTGTTTTCCCAATAGGTTTCTTCCTCTACCCTTGTTAGAGCCAAGCCAAACAAAGCCGAACTGCAAGTTTCTGCCTTAGTGGCTTAGGTCGTTGTTTGCAGTCACAGAAGAGTAAAAGGAGGTAGAACAGACACCTGGCCACTACTTTTCAGGATCTGAAAATCTGTCTGACTCCCTTCCTCCCCCATCCCATCTTCCCACATCCTGCCTTGAAGTAAACCACACTGCTTCTTCCTGTCATCCTCAGTTTCAAATGACAATCAGTCTGATTCTACTATGTTCTCTCCCTTTAATCACTGGATTTGGTAGGAATAGAGAAAGGAAAACATTCAGTTTTCAGGAGTCTAATATAGATCAACTCTGATTGATCATAACTGATCTTAACTGTAACATGGGACCCTTGATTTCCAAGGAAATAAGATCACATAGTAAGATGTTTAACAGGTTCAAGGTATGACAGAAGAGAATTATGCTGAGTTCTATCTTTGGCATGGCAGCTAAATTAAAGAAGTTGTTCCATTTCTCTGGGTTTTAGTTTCCTTAGCTGCAAAATGAGGGTTGAATTAAGTAGATGATCAAGGTGAAGCTAAAAAAAAATCAATTTGATTAATCTAACTAAATCTAATTGATTGAGTGGAATGAACCCTGGCTTTGGATGGAGGAGGCCCTAAGTTCAGATCCCTCCCACTCCCCCCCCCACTTCACTACCTTTTACTGTTTGTTAGCAATCTTATCCTCTCTTGGCCTCTGTAAAATGGAGGGGCTGAACTAGATGCCTTTAAGATTTAAATCTATAACCCTTTGATGTAATTTGCAAAACATTACCCTATATATATGTATATATAGCGGTATATAGATATAGATATAAACCACTGGAGATACAATGACAAAATAAACAACAGCCACTGTCCTCTGAGAACTCCTAGAGAGCAGGAATTATTATTTTTTTTAACTTTCTTTGTATTCCAAGCTTATTTTTATTGGCTCATAGAGGACAAAAGTTTACTTCCTACTAAAAAAAAAACCCAAAACTGATCAAGGAAGTCGAGGTGCGCTCCAATGCTGGCTCTACTATTAGCTGTGTCAATTTGGACAAGCTATTTCATTTTTCTGCCTCAGTTTGCCCATTTGTAAAGTGAAAACGTTGGTCCAGGGGTGGGGAACCTGTGGCCTCGAGGCCACATGTGGCTCTCTAGGCCCTCAAGTTGACTGTCCTTTGTCCTCCAAACTTTACTGAACAAATCCCCTTAATGAAAGGATTTGTTCTATAGAACTTGGACTCAGTCAAAAGGCCACACCCAGGGACCTACATGATTCTCCAATGCCCTTTCCGAATCTGAACATTTAGTTATGAATTACAGAAATCTCTGATGTCCTTTTTTAACCTTCAAGTTCCAAGAGCAGGAACTGCACCCGGAAGCGCAAGGTGAGAAGACGGGCTCCAGCCAGCACCAGAATCGAGTGTTCCACAGCTGGTAGCTAGGACAGAAAGTCCCTTTACCTAAGGGAACTTGAACCTGTGAACTTGAAGCCTGTGAACTAAGACACACTTAGGTGAACTTAAAGGATAGGGAGTTAAACAATGGAAGGAGAAAGGGGGAAGGGAACAGCAAAGAAAAAAGTGGATCACCGCAAGATTGTGAGCCAGCTAGCCAGCTTTAGTGACCGCCTCAACTCCACTCCTTTACCACCTGAATGAGTCTCTTCTACAAGTTGGTATCTCTGCTTGGAGCAGGGCGTCTTAATAATCCTTAGCTCGGGAACGAGTGGGGTGTGTGTGTGTGTGTGTGTGTGTGTGTGTGTGTCTGTGTAAAGTAGGTGGCGTTTGCTCTTCAGAGGAAGAAAAAACCATAGCAGGTTAAAAAACTTTTTTTTTTTTTTTTGCAAGGTGAGTGGCAGCAAAAGGGAGTTCCCACCTGTGGCTTTCTCAGTGTCAGGAAGAGTTGACTAAATGCAAAGGAGGGGCCATTCTGTTTTACAGAAGCTCTGAGGCCCCACCCCTGGGTCGGAGAGAAAAGCCCCTTGGGCAGAAAGGCCGGAGATGCTTGGTAGCTTAAGAGAAACAAGGAAGAAAACCTACACCCCTGTTGCTCCTCCTCCAGCAGCAACTGCCACTTCTTGCTTCCTGGGCTCACTCTCACCTGGGCAGCAGCCGTGGCAGCAGCAGCACCTACACCTGCACCAGGCCAGGCTCCCACCCTCTGCTGCCTGGCTGCCACCGCTCGACCCTAATTTTCCCCACCTGCCTGCCCTCTCCAGCCTGTCCCCTCCGCCTCAGAGTCCTCTTTGCCCCTGGATCCCGCCCCGATGGCCGCAAACGGGCCGGAGCACTTCCGAATTACAGCAGGCTTCCGACTGCTCCTGCTGACCCTTTTGGTGAGTTCGGCTGCGGGTCACCCCGCTCCTGGGAGGATGCGAACACCGCTCCCAGCGAGCCAGCCGGGGAGCCCTACCAGAGGATGGATGTGTAGCGCTGGGGTCGGGGACCCGTGAAGGAATTGGGGAGGAGGGACGGGGTGAGACTTGGACAAGATCCGAGGAGAGGTGAGCCAGGGTAAGTAGAGGAATTAGAACCGGGTTTCTGGATCTGGAGGCAAACGGATATCTTTATTAGATTTTAATCAGTTTAAGTAGCTGGAGATAAAAGCATCTGACTGACTCCCAAATTGTGGCCTCTAGGTATAGGGTGTGGATGAGCGCGTGTCAGAGCCTAGATGCTGGAAGGGGCCTTAGAAGCCATTTTGTACTCTGTTCTTTGTACAGATGGGGAAACTGAGAGCCAGGGAGGTTAAATGACTTGCCTAAGGTCATCCAACTACTAATTGTCAAGAGTCAAAGTTTAAACTCAGGAACTCTGACTCTGGAGAGAGTTCTGACTCATTCTATTGTACCAATATACACTGCCCTTTGCTGTTTGACTTCCTTCCTCTACTGCTTTGGTACTAAATCACCCCTTGAGTCGGGGCGCAGGATTGGGGGTCAGGGACTGCTGCTTGAGGTGTTTGGCTGGTATCAGAGCGATTGCTGTTTTTATACCTCTTCCCAAGAGTGCAGCAGTGTTTCTGGGAGCTTCTCCCTCCAGGTCACTTCTAAACCCCAGGTAAAAGAAAGCTGGGGTGGGAGAAGGGAGGGAGTAGTTGTGGAGATTTTGATGTTCCTTTCGGAAGTGAGGTTATCACCCATCTCTTCCCCTGAACTTCAACTAGTGATTCTCCTCTCTTGCAGTTTTGGAAAGGGGTTGGCAGATGCTGGGGTGAGCTGATCTGAAGGTGACTTGGAGAGCCTGTGGGAAGAGGAAGGAGACCGGCTGGTAGAATTAGTTGGGGCTAGAGGACAAATGAGAAGAGAAAAGCTCAGCGGAAAGATGTGGAGTTTGGCAGCGTCCTAGATTTAGTCTCAGGAAATGCTTTTTCTGGTGGAGCTTCAGGCTTTGAGGCCAATGTCATCCTGAAAGGGGAGTGAATCCAGAAGCATTCACAGGGCCTTTGGTAACTGACCTGAGTGATTTTATCTGGAGAACAGAGTAGACTTGTATTAAATTTAGACCATCTGAAGAGCTCTGTGGATAATTTTGGAAAAGAGGCAATTATTGAGAAAACCAAGTGGAGAATAGGTGTAGGAGTAACCATTCAACATCTGAATTACTCAGCTACTTCTCTGCCTTTTTTTTTTGTTGTTGTTGTTTTTATTTTTTATACAAGTAGATATGAGTCTACTTATGACTTAATAAAGTGTCCACATCACCATTTTTTGAGTCTTGAAATAAGAATATTTGTGTGACCTGTTAGGAGCTTGTTAGTAGCTCTAGAATGGTTAGGGAAAGTTACCTAAATAATAAATGATTTTCCTATGTGTAACTATTTGTATGGATCATATATTTCACCTTTGCAGTAAAATTTGTGTTAACTCTCAACTTTTACACCTTAGAGTGGTTATTACATGTGCAGAAATGTCATCAGATCTCAATGAATGTTTTTGATATGTTCATAAAAATGTCACACATATTGGCAACATGCAATATTTGTCAAACTGTTATCTTAATCTCCATACCCTCTCTACATTATATAATAATTTAGAAGAATTGTCCATGGTTAAAGGTAGTGCATTTGGCATTATGTTATATTATGTTATATTTGGCAAATGGAGAGTAATTTAGTTATATGTGAACATTGTGGGTTTTCACTTATCCATAAGAATTCAAATCAGTGTTTCATAAACTTTGGGTTCAATTCAATTTCAATTCAACAAATATTTCTCTATACAGTAGGCACTGTGCAAGGCAATGATGATATAAAGAAAAAAAATCCCTATGAATAAAAAGGATTTTACATTCTACTGGGTGGGTACAACAGGGATGTAAATAAGAAAAATATAAGGAAAACAGAAGAGAGAGAATGAAAACTCCAGATATATGGAGGAATTCATATGCAACCAGATTGCTTATGTGAGCAACTGTGAGCAAAGCCTAGTGTCTGTTACTTCTTTCTAGACAAAGCTCAGGAGAATTCTTTTTTGATGGCTTCTAGTTTGAACCCTGGATTTCCTAAAGCATACATATAATCACAGTCTCAATCATTTGTTGAGCATTCAAAAGCTGGCTATTGGCCAAGTATGAACTACTTGAATAGGCTAGATTTATCTGTTCTCCTCCACCCCTGAATTCTTCCCACAAACTCTGTTCCCTTTCTAATCTTTGAGGTTTTGTGGCTTTGACAAGGATGAGTTGAACTATGACAGGTTTTGTTATTAGAAGAGTAATATGAATAGCAAAAGAATGGCCACACCTCATTCTCCACCTTGGTTTGGTGGTGTTCTCTAATGGGAAACTAGTGTCCTTTCCATTACTCAGGATTTCTCTGTCAAGGATTAAACCACCCAAAAATCTCAAGGCAAAATGAAAAGTAACTCCTGACAAAAAGGTCAGGGACCTTATAAGCAAAGAAACAAAAGAGCACCCAAACCCAAACCAAGAAGCTCCAAACAAACACTCCCCCCCACCAAAGTTACTCTTAATTGTTGCTCTACTTAAATATATATATATATATATTTTTTTTTTTTACAAAGTTACAATATCTATCCAGAATCAAGAGAATATCATCAAAATCATAACATTTTAGAGTCGGAAGGGATCTTGGAGATCATCCAGGGGCGGGGAACCTGTGGCCTCAAGTCCACATGTTGCCATCTAGGTCCTCAAGTGTGGCCCTTTGACTGAATCCAAACTTCACAGAACAAATCCCCTTAATGAAAGGCTTTGTTCTGTAAAACTTGGACTTAGTCAAAGCTGCACTCAAGGACCTAGAAGAACACATGGGACCTTGAGGCTGCAGGTTCCCTACCCTTGATTGTTCTAGTTCAACCCCTGCAGGGGAACTGATGCCCAGAAAGTCTCAGTTAACCCAGGAAGGTTATATGATTTGCCCTAGGTCACATAGCTAAGTGCTTGACCTAAGGTGATTCCTCTGCTCTCTGGAGCCCAAATCAAATGTTCTTTCCATTACATCCAGGTTGGCTCTGAAAAAAACTTAATTCTTAAATTTATAAAATAACATTAATTACTAATTATATGGTACCTTTTCCAAGGAGCTCAAACTGCTTTGAAAACTTACTTTTAAAAATATACCTTTAAAATAAGAGACAGTTATTGTAAATAAAACTCTTTCTTTTTAATGGTTGAGGAAACTGAAGTATTAAGAGTACAAAAGATTTTGTGCAAGTTTGTTTAAAAATTGAGCCCAAAGGAGATCCCTTGAGTTTTTGATTCTCAGTTAGAGTTAATGTGTAATTACTGTTTTTCAGTGATTCAGTTGTGTCCAATTCTTTGTGACTCCTGGCTCAGAATATACTGTCCATATTTTGTCCATTGTTTTGTTTTGTTTTTGCAAAAATACTACAGTATTTTGCCATGTGGATTAAGACAAATAGAGGTTAAGTGATTTGCTCAGGGTCATACAACTATTACATGTCTGAGGCTAGATTTGAACTCAGCTCTTCTTGACTCCAAGCCCAGTGCTTTATCCACTGAGTCACCTAGCTGCCTACAATTTTATAACTGTAAACTTATATAAATGTGAGAGATTGTTTCACTTTTTCTGAAATATTTTTGCCCTTCAAAGAAGATATATGCATACATAGCTCTGAATACTATAGGGTACACTTATGCAGTTATATATTGGATAGTAAACTCACTCCATCATAGATGAGTTATAAATACTAAAAAGTTGCCTGAGGCCATTAGATGTTAACTAATGACTTAGGATCACTATGCTATTCAAATATCAGAATGGGGATTTTAATCCAGGTCATCTTGATTCTGAACATAATACTTTTTTACTTCTAAGCTGAACCTATTATATGCATAATGAATGATGCCCAAACAATTGCTATGCTTTGTTTTTTGGGTTAATTTTGCTTTGTGTACTGAGAGGTAGAAATGCTTCACATAATTTAAATTGATATATGGCTAAATTATGGTAGAGTTAGGACTATAAAATATAGCTTTTTAAAAATCCACAGAAATGTACTTTGCTGAGATTTTATATGGCGAGTTTTGTGTGGGAAAAGCGTCCTTTATTTCTATTCTTAACATCCATGAGACATTTCAGACCTGAAGATTTCATTGTGAGACCTATAGCAAAAGGAGGCTAAAGACAGGAAAAAAAATACCCCATAGGTGGTGAAGTGGATAGAGTGCCAGGCCTGAAGTCAAGAATACTCATCTTCCTGAGTTCATATCTGGCCTCAGACATTTACTAGCTGTGTGACCTTAGGCAAGCTACTTAACTCTGTTTGCCTATAAAATGAGCTGGAGAAAGAAATGACAAACCACTCCAGTGTCTTTGCCAAGAAAACCTTATATGGGGTCACGAAGAGTTGGACACAACTGAAGAACAACAGTAATTTTGCAAATACACCAATGAGGATACTATATAATCTTGAGAGGTAAAAATGTAAGACAAAGTTAGATCTGTTTATAATATACATTGTAGGTTTGTGGTATATGAGAATTTGGAAGGAAAACTCATTTGATTTTGTTGAAAAGCCAATTTTGAACCAAATAATTTTCTAAAGTATTGATCTATATTTATGAACTTTATAAAATGTTTATAATTTCTTTACTAAACATTGTGTCAACTTGGCACAGTAGATACAGAGCTAGCCTCCCCAGTCAAGTTGACTTGTGTTCAAGGTCAGACTCTGCTCCATACTGGCTGTGTGATGCTTGCTGGGTAAGTCACTTAACCTCTCACTGCCCACTAAGGCTGTAAGTTAAGGAATAATTTAAAATCTTCATTAGTGGAGGATATTTCTTTACAAGGGAACACTCTGTATACTAATGAAATCATGAGTCTAGGTTAAACACTAAAGTATTCCCGACTCTCTAAGAAATAGAACAGATAACTTTATTTAGAACCAGAAGAGCTTTATACCCCTTTATTGTACATTTGAGGAATCAGAGTCCCAGAGAGGTAGAATAATGCACCCAAGTCACCCAGTTCTCCTGACTCCTGTTCCACTATACCACACTGCTCTTGTGATCAGATCGAAGTCAATTCAACAAGGATTTGGTGAATGTCTTCTGGGGGCAACGTACTATGCTACAAGTTGGGGCTGCAAAGACAAGGTGGTAAACAGTCCCTGCCCTTGTTGCTGTTACAAAACTTTCAAAACAAAGAAAACTTTTGAAAAAAGTCGGAAAGGACTAGACAGAACAAAATTCAGTAAATTTCTGAATATACTTTCAACTTTCAAAATATTTGAAGCTTATCTGTCTTGTTTTATCCCTATGTGTGTATTCAATGTAACATTAGTTCTGATTTTTGAGGCAGCTCATACAAATGGAGAGATTGAAAGTGACATTGTATGTCTATATCTGGCAGCAAGCAGCCACTAAACCATGTTAGTGTTGGCTGCCATCCTTGGCACATTATTTTCTTCAAGATCATATTCAATAATTTTTTAAATTAGCCATGGAAGGAATCCAATTATAAATAAAGAACTATTATATGGATTTTTGTTCTTCCACATTCATCCTGTTTTTAAACATGCACCACATTTTACTGTACACTTGTGTAACACTTTACATTTTTGGACATGCTTTCATGATTCTTGTAACACTTTAAGGTATTCAGGACAAACATCTCTACATTACAAATGAGAATATTCAGAGGTTGTGAATAGCTAGAGGTCAAATGGCTACTAAGTAGAAGAGGGGACCAGAATTTAGGGCTTCCTTTTATTATTCCATATACCTTTTCCAGGTATGTCCCTTCCAAATACTGTCCTTCCATTTTAGTTTGCTCAAGTGATTGAATTGGGCAGCTAGGTGGCCCACTGGATAGAGTGGTGGGCCTGAAGTCAGGAAGACTCATCTTCCTGAGTTCAAATCTGACCTCAGATACTTACTAGCTATATGACTCTGGGCAAGTTACTTAACCCTATTTGTCTGAGTTTCTCATCTGTAAAATGAGTTGGCAAAGGAAATGGCAAACCATTCCAGTATCTTTGCCAAGAAAATCCCAAATGAGATCATGAACAATCAGACACAACTGAACAATAATGAAAGACCTCTCCTTGGATAGTTGCAAACAATAGTTAATTTTGATTTTCTTTATAGGTCTTGAGTTTTTCCTGTGAAGCCTGCAAAAGGGTGACACTTTCTGTTCCTTCTAAACTTGAAGCTGAGACTTTTGTTGGTAGAGGTAAGAAAATGAAAGAGAAATTTTTCCTGACCTGTAATTTGATATATTTTCTTTAACTGTGATGTTTGAAGTCAGGGAAACTGTTAGGTGATAGATCTTTGGAGTTAGCATGGGAATCAGTTAGAAGTAGATTTAAATGAGTATAATTTTCACAAAACTTTTGTGCTTCATAGTGTAAGGATTCATTTTTGGGGTGGTGAATACTCTTTTAGATATTGTATGTCTCCTAGGTGAGCTACTTTCCCTCCATCCCCTAACTTTTAAAAGAATTACAGGTCTCTAGATACTTGGGTTTTTTTATGGGGGGGAAGGCACTATTCTGAATTTTTAATAAAATAGAATTTTTGTAGTAAAATATTTCCTTGTAAATGAGATCTGGAAAAATGACTTTGCCTTTCAAAAATTTTGTTTTGAAGATGAAAAACATTACTTTTAAAACTTTTGATTGGCATGGAGAGGGTGTCTAAAATACATATATGATTTAGGTCAGTGACTGCAAACTCAAATTACACTTTATATAACATGTTAGATGATTTCCTGTAAGGCTTCACTAGATTTAGGGGTCAGAAGACCTGAGTTTGAGTTCTGACTCAGGTTTTTACTAACCATATGACTTTGGACAAGTCACTTAAATTTTCAGAACCTCAGTTTCTTCATCTGTAAAATGTACGATAATATTATTTGTACATTCTACCTTGCCATGTTGCTGGAAGAAGTGTGTTTTATAACTCAAAGGCTATGCAATGTGAGGATGTTTTTTTATTTTTGAGGGGGAAGATAGGATTGAATTCTGACCTGCGAATTTTTATCAGTACAGAGAACTCTTAATTTGGAAACTCCCTTTACTAAACAGATAAGCAACTGTTCTATAACTTATATTCTTAGCTGTCTGGGACAATGAGAGGTCAAGGACAGGGCTGGTTTAAGTTAAAAATGAGTCTTGTGTCCTGGTCTTTTGGACTTTGAGGCCAGTGTTACATACACTGGGCTTATTTATTTATTTTTACTTATTTTTGTTGTACATGTAGTTTTATGGCATTGTAAAGGTAATTTGAGTTCAAATATGTTATCCTAGCGGAAAAAATCACTTCTCTAAAAGGCTATTAAATATTATTGGTTCATTATTTTTTCTATTCCAAAGGACAGTGGTGCCTAACACTTCACCTAGACTATAATGTAATAGTTCAACCACATTTTTTTTCCTTTTTGTGACACAAATGAATAAAACAGTTATTAAGTGCTTTCTATATGCAAAGCACTGTGCTTTGCTGTCACTGAGGATATAAATAGAAAAGCTAAACATGAGGACAGTCATTTTTTTTTTTTTGAGATCCTTATGGGCTGCAAGGCGTTAGGATAATGTTTCCTACTATATTAGAAATCCTCAGTGAATAACCCCAAGTGCTAAGTCTCTTTTGGGGAGACTCACACCTCTTTGGAGCTTTTTACAGTTTATTTTCCTTTAAGCTAACCTGTTTGCCTTAGTGAGATGAGTTCAGAAATCCATTTAGATTGATCTATGTGCTGTAAGGATTCACTGAGGAGATTTTGGATGCTCTCTGTGTTTCTTGAACTCTTTGGAAATTTTCCCCCAGACATTCAGTCAGAGTTCCCTATGTATTAGAGGAATCCAGAGATTCCTCAGAACTGAACTCAGCCTGCACACATGGGTCTAGAGGAGAGGGGCTGCTTATATGGAAAGTCAAAACCCTATCTTCTTACTTCTATCCCCAGCCCTTCCAAGTAGGTCTGTGTTTTTACATAAGAGCCAAGACAAAGCAGATTAGTTTCTCTCCTAATTATGAGGACTAGCTTTTGTCAACCTAGGTCTCTTCTCTCTTTTGGGTACTCTGTTGGAACCAGACATCCTCTGAGTGGAGAAGTTTGGTTTTTCTTTTTTCCTCTTTTCTTTATTGTCATTGGGTCAGGTCCTTTGCAAGGCCCAAAATGGGCCATAACCTATTAGGTATGACTAATCTTTGGAATTAAGAATAGAAATGAATTAGAAGCTATCTTAAATGAAAAACAATTCAGTTATCCTTCAAAACTTGCCTTTAAAAATCAGTCATTGTTAGTGATTTTCCTTAGTAATACATAAGTGAAGGTTATGTACAGATATTCAACATTTAGATATTGAAGTAGTGGGAAGACAGAATTGTGGTGGAGTAGCTGACCTCAGCTAGCTGACCTCAGAACCAGCAAGTCCTTGGTCCAGGTCCAACTTTTGGCACATACAATCTGTGACCCTGGGCAAGCCCACTGACTTATTAGTGTAACAGACAACTCCCTATGACTATAATACGTGCTTGTCTACATTGATAGAGGAAATTGCTTACCAGGGAGTCCCCTACATTAATTAAATAACAGGTCCATATTAAAAAAAGAAAGTAAAGTGAGACTTCAACGAATCTCCCACTCAAATACCTCACTATGTGACTTGGAAGTTTTGATTTTGTTTCCTCAAAGACTCTGTCAGCAGAACCCAAGGTAAAGTGGAACTTTAGGCATGGTCCTGTGGGTAAACAGGTGTCCAAGAATCTGCCTAGCTTAATGTGGAGAGGCCAATCACCAACCTGGCAGCTAGATGATGAACTTTTTGTTCATAATAACCTTTTAAACTAATAAAAATACAAATCAGCCCTAAATCCCTTTTCCTATGTTTGCAGTTAAAGTGTCACAGTGATAGATAATGGAGAAGAGAGTACCAAGAATCACAGTTATTTAGGATAGCTACCAATATTAATTTAACTGTTGGTTCTCTAAATATAGGATATTTGTTCTGTGACCAGTGAATTAACATTCTAACAGTGGAACTAAATAACAACTTGTCACTATAAATAAATATAACAATATGTCACTATAAATAAAACCAGAAAGACCTAAGTAAATTGGAATTGTATGGATGGACACAATGTGGGAAGTAAATAGATTTAGATGAAAGAGTCAATGTTTGCCAACAGGGAACAAAAAGAATCATTTCATGTAACACTTGGTCATCTTACTTCAGAGTACTCGTAAATAAGCAGACCACCATGAAGATCATGAAAACTTATAGATTAACATCTGTTGGAAATAGGGGCAAGGCGGGTAGTTTTTGTGAAGAATTTGACCTTGCCTTTTCAAATGTCAGAATTTACCTTGATGCATATGACTTCCTTGTGAAGTTGGGCATTGAGCAAGACTGTGAAATCTATGTGGTCCAAACATGTAGTGAGAGTGAGGGTTAACAAGACGGCCCAAGTGTTGTACTAGTCCCCACCAAATATTTAAAAGAATTTGAAGAAGGCTTTAGATTTTTCCTTTATGAAGAATTTATAGAAATATGGGGAAAATATTAGCATAGGGTGGAAGGGTTTTTTACTTGTAACAATTGAAGGAGTACCCACACTATTGGGATCAAGAATATTTTGAAGCATTAATAGAGGATTTTAACTTTCTACTTTGAGATCAGCATTCTCATTCCACTAACAGTAGAGCATTTGATAAATTCTTAACTTGCTACTCTGAAAGCTTACTTTCCAATGGATACTCTTGGCTGACTTCTGACCCCCCCAAAATATCTTTTTTTTGTTGTTGGCAGTTTAATAAAAGAAACCTTGGGAAAAGTGGTACTCTCATCATCATCATCATCATCATCATTGTCATCATCATCATTGTAATCATTATCATCTTATTAATATATGTTAGTAATTAATATCTTTTCACAATATCACCAACTACAAAAATAATAGTATGATAGGTAATCCTAATGGTCCTCACAAGTTTCTCAAGGCCAAGAAGAAAAAAAAAAAACACTTGGGAATGTTGGAAAATGTACACCTGCATATATTTTTTACCTTTCCCATTGTCCTACTGATCTATTACTTCCAGAAAACTTCCTGGAAGCATTAGGAGCATATGTTATGCTAACTTACATTAATATAGCTCTTCACAATTACTTCAGTGTATTCATGTGTGTTTTCACATTTGTCGCTTTGATTCTGCCTTACAGTTCCATGCCTTTCCCACTACACCATTCGCCTCCAGTGTGCCACATCTGCATCTATGGTACCAGATTCTTTGACTTTAACTTTGACTTTTTCCTCTCCTCCATCTGTTCAGTTGCCAAGTTTTGATGATTCTAGCTCTGAAACCTCTTCCACATTAGTGTTCTCCTTTCTTTTTACATGCCTTTGTTACCATCTGATGAAATTTTTGCAATAGTTTCCTAGAAGCATTCTGTGCCTTTGCTCTCTCTACCAACATGGGTGTGTTATGGTCTGAGGGGTTGAGACCCCTCAAAGACCGGAGTACAGGACAGGATCATCTGGAATGAATTCACAGATTCAAGCATTCTTTGAGTCAAGTTGGCAAAGACTTATTGTTAACGCTATATAGCAGGCAAAAATTTTTAAGGAGCCTGGGAGAGTCTGAGGATGGAGCTGGGGTTTATATGGAAAAGGGCATGGGAAAGGAATGCTAGGGATACTAATTAGGTAATCTAAAAGTCCAGGTGTTTTTGGGAGCTATGGATGGGAAAGTGTAGGGAGTATGCCAGACAGGGAGGGAATTGTCAAAGGGAGTTGGGAATCTGGTGGGAGGAAGAGTCCTTTGGCCAGCCAGGGACAAAACTCCTTGAGCCAGGCACCCCTCTCTCTCTATCCTGATTAGAGAATGCTCTGCAACAAGAGAAAATTTTCCTCACAGGACAGGAGCTTACTAAAAATTGGGAGGCCTCCAGAGACATGATCTTAGGGCTGGGGCTTAAGCAGCCCAGCACCCTCTCACTCAGCTGTGTGTCACTAGGGAGAGAGATAAGTGTCTTGCTGGGGCCCACTCATGAGTAATTGCTAGGCACAGTGTCCTTGGGCTGGAGGGAAACTGGCAGGGATAGTGTTTCTGAGGCCAGGGAGAAATTGGGATCCAACAACACCCAAACACCCCATCAGGTTCAAGTGCCACCTGACACTGGTTGTGTGACCTGAGCAATTCACATACCCTCCCAGTGCTCTGAGCAGCTCTCTAAGACTAGGTACTGAAGAAAAGACATTTGAGAGAAACAGTCCTTAAAGCTCTAAAGAGGATGCTAACCTGCAATGGTTGAGAGAATTTCCTTAACTGAGAGTCCATTGTACTAAAGATATTGCAGGTTCAGTTACTAGACCTAGTTGAGAAGAACAAAAGAGACAGAATGATCATGAAACTAAGGATGAATATAAAAAATACCATGGAACTATAAGAATAATATCAGTAAGGGAAAAATGCAAAATGAGTTGAAGCTTACAAAAACTGCTAAAGACAACATAGGGTATATCAGGAACAAAAAGAACAATATGGGACAGATAGATCCATTTTTAATTGCCTTGTGAACAGTGAGAAAGGAGAATCATACAACTTGAATTTGGTTTCCATCTTTTCTATGAAGGAGAATGATCTTCAAATAACTCATTATGCTATAAAGACCACATAATTCCTTGTAAAATATATTTTGCTTTTGTTTGCATTTTACAAATTGCTGTGATTTGTTTCTCCTTTAGTTAATCTAGATGAGTGCCTTCCATCTGCAAATATAATCCATTCAAGTGACCCTCACTTCAGAATTTTCAAAGATGGTTCGGTGTATACAACCAATCCTGTTGTGTTGTCTCCTGAGAAGAGAATGTTTACTATTCTACTTTCCAACACAGAGAAAAGAGAACAGAAGAATCTAGTTGTCCTACTAGAATATCAAAAGAAGGTATAAAAGAACATATCAATATTTTTCAATGTGTATTATTTGCTTTTCATCATTACGTTGTCTCTTTATTGGTGAATTATGCCTGTTGCCTACCCTTGCATGATGTTGACTTTTGGCCAGATTTTTCAAGTTGCTATTATTTCATTCCTCTTCTGTTTCATCAATCTTGCATCTCATTCTTGGTTCTTATGAGACAGGTTGCTTATGGAGAGTCTAATGTTTGGAAAAATAGCCATTGATTTCACATGTGTATTTTCTCTGTTTTCTAAATCCAGGTACTGAAGAAAAGACATTTGAGAGAAACAGTCCTTAAGCGTGCCAAGAGAAGATGGGCTCCTATCCCTTGTTCATTGCAGGAGAACTCTTTAGGTCCTTTCCCCATGCTTCTTCAACAGGTAATTACATTTTTGCTTAATTCTACAGTTCTTCATATCCCTGCAACTTGGACGCTGACTTTTCAATCACTTAAATATATCATGGCTACCCTCTTTATATGTGGTGTGTGTTTATGGACCTATGTATTTAGGTACACATGACATATATATTTTTGGATTTTCTTTTTAGAAAAGCTTTTGCCACCTTTCATAAAGTAGTAAAATCTTGATTGCTAGGTGCATGAAACTTCATAGTATGAAAGTGACTCCCAGAAATCAACAAAGAAGCCTCAGAGAATGGACACTGTCAGAAATAATAAAATGCAAAATTTAAATTGTATGCATTTTGATTGTCTACTAGAGAAAGGGAGTACTGTTATTGATTGGCAGTGAATATAAAAGCCAAATCCTGTGTCTTAACAGGAGAAGAGCAAAAAATAAAATTTTCAAAGGAGAGATCACACTGGAGAACAAAAGTGGGGTAGGAATTAGAGAAGGGTACCATGGGATCTTGGTGTAAGAAAATGAGATGGAGAAATAGTATGAATGGGAAGGGAGCAAAGATGCATATGAATGGAGGTATAAAAAATTATTCAAAGCAAAAATCCTTATGCAAAATCCTACTTGGTTTAGCATTATGACATTTAGAGAGTGATGTGGTAATATATAATGTGTTAATTTGTGGACATATATACTGGCATACTGGCAAGCTAAGATATGATTTCATAGTGTGTATACATACATATACACATACATATATAATATGTATTTATGTACACAGGTATAACAATATTCACAAATATAGTTTATGTATGTGTTTATGTGCATGTGTGCATACATATGTACATGTACACAAGTGTAGTTTCACTAAATTAAAGTGCCATTCTGATATGGGAATTCTCCAATCAAAAAGTGTTGCTATCTTTGAATAAGTGTGGAAAAGTAAAATATTTTTGAAAGCCAAGGAGTTTAAGTTTGAATTATACGTATTTTCTGAATGTCAAAGTTAGACATGGTATTAAAAGGCAGTAGTACATAAATTCTGTCAGCAAAGAGACTTTCATTTTGTTTTTGCATAATAATCCTTAGCATAGTTCTTTGCACCCAGTAGGAATTTTGAAAATATGTGTCCCAGTGTTTTAAAGTGTGATCCCACATAGTCTGTGGAACCTAAATAGGCAGAAAGATTTTGTGGCTCTTTTATAGAACTTTGTTTAGGGGATACCCTATGTTTGGTAACATTTTATAGTGTTGCCAAAACTAGTCTATTTTGATTATACTTGCCCTTGATGGTGCCAGTGAATAAAATGCCCTCAGGTTTACAAAGATTAAAGACAGATTGACTGCTATTACATGTCTTAATGCTATGTATGGGTTCCCATAAAACAAAACCTTTAATGATGAGAAAATGTAATTATCCTAGAGGTTTCTAAGGTACTACACACTCACCTAAATGGGAAAAGGTTTTCCTTTTTTTTTTCTTCTCTAATTTGTTCCATAATATGTTATGTATCTTCAGTGAATGAAAGATCATCTTAGCAGAATACAGTTACCTGAAAAGGCACTCATTAGATTATCATGGTATTCTCCTCCCTCAATCCTCTTCCAGTGATCAGAGTTAATTTCTGGAAATATTTTAAGTATCTTATTGAAATGAGTGTTAGATAATGTTAGCAATCTTTGGATGAGTGCCATTAAGAATATGAAATATTATTACAAAAGAGATTTCATGAGATGCCATCATGCTGATGTCATATAAGGCTTTTCATCTTATTCTAATGTAAACAATACAAATTTTAATATGGCTTGTACTTGGAATTCTATCAGTCAATTGAAAAGCATTTATTAAGTACCAACTGTGTGCCAGGTGCTGTATTAGATGCTAGAGATAGAAAATAAAAAATGAAACCGTCTCTACCTTCAAGGAGTTTACATTTCATGAGGGCAAACAACTTGTACACATGTAAGTGGAAATAGATACATATAGACATATGGAGAGACATATGCTATATGTATGCATGCAGGTAATTGTCTTTCACTTATATTAATACATAATAAAATACAATATAGCATATATTTAAGACAAATAATTTCTGAGGATACAGAGTGGTGGTGGTAGTGACAATAACAACTTGGGCATGGATCAGGAAAGGTTTTATATAGCAGAAATATGTAAGCTGAGGCCTGAAGGGAGTCACAAAGTCTAAGAGGCAGAGAGGTGAGAAGGAAATACATTTTAAGGAGAAGGAAAAGTATGTGCAAACGCAAGGAGACAGAAGATAAGATACTGTGTATACCAAAGAGCATGCATGGTAATTTGCGTGGTATGTAGAATGCATAATAATACCAAGAAGGTAGGCTGGAACCAAATTTCAGTGGGCTTTGAATATGAAACAGAGAAGTTTGTATTTTATCCTAGAGATAATAGGGAGCCACTCAGGTTTTGGAGCATGGGAGCGACCAGAACAGTGCTTTAGGAATATTTCTTTGGTAGTTGTACAAGAAGAGACTGGAGAGTAGAGGGACTTTAGGCTTGAGAGACCAACAAGGAGGCTATTGCAATCATTTCCACAACAATGAGTGGGGCCCTGAATTAGGGTGGTGGTCTATGACTGGAAGAGAAACAGGTACTAAAGATGCTATGTAGGTCCAAAGGCAAACATTGTTGAGGATTTAGGGACAAAAATTTGAACTGATTTATGATTACAGAAATGTCTATTGTTGAGAGATAATTTGAAAGTTTTATAATTAGGATTAGAAAATGTCATTGCATATTGTTGAAATGGCAAGGAATAGTATTCCTCCTTACCTCTTTAACACAGTTACTGTAGGAAGAATGGATTAAAGCTCACAAGGAAGTTCATGTGATTTTTTTAAATTTTAGTTTCACTAAGACAGTGTGTTTTGAATGTTCCTAAGAAGTCAAAAGACACTGATAAAGATAGTGAAGAGGGGCAGCTAAGTGCTCAGTGGGTAGAGCACCGGCCCTGGAATATGGAGGACCTGAGTTCAAATCTGATCTCACACTAGACATTTGACACTTACTAGCTGTGTGACCCTAGGCAAGTCACTTAACTCCAATTGCCTTGCCAAAAAAAAAAAGGTAGTGAAGAGTTCATGGAGAATGAGAAAATTTCTTAGGAGATGACTGCTTTAGATTTTGATTCAGTATATGGGGAAAATAGTCATTTGATCTTAGAATTTGTAAGAAAGAAGGTGAAAAAGCTGGGGACAATCTGACCTGCACCACAAATTTGACGAGTATGTTTCAGAGGGCTCAGAGAGAGGATAGGTGGGATACCATGGTCTAAAATTCCATAAGAGAAAGCAACCTAGAAGCTAGTAAGAAGGAAATGCCAAAGACCCAGAGATATAACTCCACAAAGGAAGTGAAATTGTTCAAAGAGGCAAGAGTAAATTTACAAGATACTCAGAAGTCAACTTAGATTAAAACAAAACAAGATAAACAATATGTGTAGATGATGGAAATAAGGGCAGGTAATGAACACGAAATTGTCATATAGTCCTATAATATCAAGAGAACTAATGCTCAGAATAAGCTGAGGCTAGGCATTCATAAGGAGCATCCCCCCAAAAAAGGTTGTTTTGAAGCTATATTGGGGGCAAAGAGGATTAAAGAAGATCTAGGATGGCACTTCATAATGAACAAGATGATAGAGTATGAGGGAGAGAAGGTAGAACCAATCAATTCTTTTTTTTCTGTTTTCTCTGCAACAAGAATGATACATAGACTATCAAGACCAGAGCAAAAAATGACTAATAAAAAAGTTGAAGCTCAAGATAAGTAGGGAAAATAATGAGAAAGTACTTAGCTATATTTGATGAATATGTGTCATTATGTTCCAGTGAAGTACATCTAGAGGCATGAAAAGAAGTTATGAATATGATAGTTAAGTAATTATATGTCATCTTAGACCACAGAGAATGGGATAAGTGCCATAGGACTAGAGAAGTACAGATGTTCTAATTTTTGAAAAAGAAAGAGAATTGAATCAGCGACCTATATAGACCTGTGAATTTGAATTCAATTTCGGGCAGAATCTTACAGCGTAGTATTTAAGGAATAGTTATCATGTAGAAAAAGAAGCGGTGAGTCTAAAGGGCCAAGTATTGCTTCATTAAGAGCAAATTATATTTGATTCATGCCATTTCCTTTTTTGATAGGGTTTCTAGACTGATAAATAGGGTAAATGTTGTAGACATAATTTGCTTTTATCTTAGATAATCATTTGACAATGACTCTGTTGTGAATTTTATGGACAAATCCATAGATAGATTCCAAATTTTGTAAATGATTAGAAATAAAGACTTAGAAGAAAGTCTCCAGTGTAGTGCCCCCAGGGATTTGTGCTTAGTTCTGTGCTTTTCTTTTTCACATTTTATCAGTGACTTAGATAAAGTTTTAGTTGGCATTCTTATTAGATTTGTAAATGGAACCAAGATGAGAGGCATAGGTAACACCCTGGATCCAAAATAGATCTCTGCAGGTTGCATCACTGGGTTGAATCTGCTGAGATGAAATTTAATAGGGATAAATGAAAAGTTTTACAGCTGGGTCCAAAAAAGTTTAAGATTAGAAGGCATATTTAGATAATGGTTCATCTGAAAACGTCTGGAGATTTTAGTGAACTACAAATTCAATAAGAATAATCAGTGTGATACATTGGCCAAAAAAGTTAAGATTTTGTTAGGACTATGGATATAATAATCCAGTTTTAAAGTGGCCACCATACAAAGTATTTCATTCAGTTCTGTATGTGCATTTTAGGAATGGTATTGATAAGCTGGAGGGTATCCAAAGGATGGCAGCCAGGATTATGAAAGACCTTGAGGTCATGCTAGATGAGAATTAGTTGAAGGAACTAGAGATGTGTAGCCTAGGTAAGAGAAGACAGGTGGGGGGAGGGTAGGCAAAAAAATTGTCTTCAAGTATTGAAAGGCTGTCCTGTGGAATTAGAGATTATACATTTTCTTAGCCTCAGGGTGCAACACTAGGAACAGTGGGTGAAAACTGTTCTGAAGCCAGCTTGATATCACTGCCTCAAAAAGTCACATGGGTTTTCCTTCACTAGAATTCTTCAAGTTAATACATTATGCTGTATTTTCAGGACTATTATAGAGGGCTTCCTTCTGTTATTATTATCATCTTGTTTAAGCATAGGTTGAACTAAGGCATCCCTGAAGATGCTTTCAATTCTAAATTTTGTAAATTTTTGAAAAGATGGTGATGTTGCCATTTTCTGGGGTCCAATTCAATAAATAAGTTTATTCTTATTCATGTATCATTTGCTTTTATGAAGCAATTGGCAAGAAAACATGGTCTGATAGAGAGAATGTTGTACTCATTATCTGGAAGATGAGAGTTCAGATCCCAATGCTCATGATTCCTAGTCATTCGACCACTGGCAAATCATAAGCCTCTTTGAGCCCTAGTTTCCTCACTTGCAAAATGGAGATAATCCTGCCAGTACTATCTAACTCACAGTGTTGTAAGGATCAAAGCACTTAGTGTATATAAAGTGTTCCACCAGCCTTAATGTGCTATGTAAATTATTATTTCTTTGGAATTATTTTCTTGAGTATAGCTTAGTAAACACACAGCCAAATATGTTTATAACACAGTACAATAATTGATATTCATAATTTAATAGTTTTCTGATAATTTAGTAGCCAATGATATTTTGCAATAATATCCTAAATATAACCAGACCCAATAAGATGTAACAGACACATGTTGAGGCATTATTCAAGTCACCTTTGAAGGCATTGGTGAAGCTGGATGCAAATTAATAACTCTCCCATAAATCAATTCACTTGCTATCCCATTTACAATATTTTTCTTGTGGACACAGCTGACTCCCTGTAGCAATCTTTCACCTGACCTCATGTTTTCACACAACAATTAATGGAAGCAAAGTGTATAATACTTTTTAGAAATTTTCCATTTAAAAAGTTTGAAGTGAAAAAATTTACTGGAGCTTAACTACAGGTATCCAGAATCTTAATTCTTCAAACATTCTGGACAAACTGAGGTGTTGCTTTACAACTCTTATATTTCTTATTTGGTAATCTGCTGCTAATCTTTTGGTTTTGTCATTTTAAAATCTGTTATTATTTTGTTAATCTTCAGTGTTACCTTTATGCTGTCACTGTCCTAATACCTTAGAGATTATTACATGGCACTTTTTGATTGAGATTCTTTTTTTCACCAAATATAATGTTGTAATAACTCACAAGATAATATATTGATCAAAAGTACACTTAGTCATTTCTCATTCTATCTTGATTCTTTCATTTTTTTTCTTTATAGGTCCAGTCTGACTCAGCACAGAATTACACAGTCTATTATTCAATCAGAGGGCCTGGAGTTGATCAAGAACCTTTAAATTTGTTTTACATAGAGAGAGATACTGGGAACCTCTTTGTTACTCGTCCTGTAGATCGTGAGAAATGTGCATCTTACGAGGTACATATTAAAATTATTAATTTTATGTGGAGTTACAGTGGTTCTACTTTAGTGGGCAGACCATCCCTTTTTTTCCTTTGGCTTGATGAAAAGAAAACTTTTCAACCTTTACCGCCATCCCAAAGTAGAATGGGTTACCTTGCAAGTTAGTATGACCTCCCTCGTTGGAGGACTTCAAACAAAGGCTGGATGACCACTATTGGTGTCTTTAAGCTTTTTATCTTTCAGTCTAAACAAAATGATATGAGGGAATTAAAAAAAAAAACAACAACCCACAGCCCAGCCACTTATCTAAATTCTTCTAATTGACAGATCCAGAGGTAACTTAAGATTATACTTTTGTCATAACCATTTTGAAGATAATAACTTTAAAATACACAGGCATGTTCTAATTTATTCATTTTTTCCAGAACCATTTTTCTTTTAATTACACTTCTAATTTGATTTTACTTTTGAATTATCTATCATTTTTTGTAAACTTTTTTATTTAGAAAAACCTTTATTGTATATTCAAATTTCTTGAATATATTTCTTTTCTATTTTTTTCTCTTAACCAGAACAAAGCATGCAATACAATTCGTTTTGCTGATTTTACAGATTCTAGCCATTTTTATGCATAATGTCATTTCATAATTTCTGTTTGTCATATACATTGTAAATAAATGTGTGTTGAATATAAAAGTGTATATCTCACAGGTCTAAAAACTAATGCATTTTAATGATGTAGTCCTCTCTGACTATGATATTTATAATTCCTAAAACTAGAATCATTAGGTTTTGTTACATTTTATATTAAAGATCTAAAGATATGTTTCTTTCCTCCCTTTTTCCTTTTTTTTAAATAGATAATTGCCTATGCATCAACTCCAGATGGTTATTCTGTAGACCTTCCACTACCCCTTGAAATCAGAGTTGAGGATGAAAATGACAACTACCCAATTTTCACTGAAAACCCTTATCAATTTGAAGTTCTTGAAAATTGTGGAGCTGGTAAGCATATCTTTTAACAACAGATTATACTAAGATAGAATGTATTTCAGTGACCTGTATTATTGCAGGTAAAGGAAATACACTTAGGAGAAAATATGTATTTTGTAAAATGGTGATTCTGAGGCATGAGACCCAAAAATGGGCTCTTTGATTAATCAAAATGTCTATCTAATGAGTTGTGGTAAGATCAGTGAACAAATACTGGGCACTCCAGAGAGGTTTACCAGACATGATATTAACTTTTTTCTTTAAAAAAATTTCTTAGTCTATAGCTTGGATTTTGTTTCTTTCTTGTTACTATTAGTTAATAAAGATGTAATTGAATTAGAACTATCTGGAGAACATCAAGTAAATTGATGAAAGGAAATAGAAGCTAACAAATGATACTGGCCCCTAAATAGCATTATTTGGTTTGGAAAGACAAAGACCATAGGACAGGGATATCAGCAAAATTAATGATGTTATGAAGTGCGCATATGTTCACCAAATACTGAAATATTAACAGTAGGAGGTTACCCCCTGAAGCTTGAAAGCAGGAGTACTTAGTAAAAATGAAATGAAATGTTTCTTTTTACTTGACAGCAGTAAACTTACATAAATCAAAACTCTAAAAAATAGTATTGGCTTAAAATATAATAGATTTATTAAACTCAACTTACTATTGAGTATGTTGGACATACTGAATATGTATATGGATATGGATACAGTGCTAGATTCTCTGAGGGATAACAGAGGTAGAATATGACTACTGCTAAGTGTTTATTCAGTAAATGAATGAAAAAGCATTTAAGTGTTATGTGCTGAATGCTATTCTGTTCTGTAAATACAAATACATATTGAGACAATTCTTGCCCTCAGTAGTTTCTGTTCTAATGGGGGAGACAACATGTATAGGAGAAAGAATTCAATTATGGTACTGATGAGGCCCAGGGGGTTCAGAAAATGACAAATTCAATTTCTTTTGCTGTGGCGAGAATGGCAGAAGGTACAGGTCCACAGCTTCCCCTTGAATATTTTATAAAGGAATGAAGCAATATGATAAGTACCAAGAGCACTAGTCTGGGAGCCCAAATCCTAGCTTTGTGTCCAAGTTCCTACACTTGCTAGCTACATGACAGAGAACAGATCACTTAGACTTTCCAAACCTCAATTTCCTCATCTGTAAAATGTGACTAATACTGCTTGAACAACTTTACCAAGAAAAGTGCTCTGTAAACCCTAAGTATTACATCCAAATGTGAATGATGATTATTAGTGTTATTATTAATAATAATTAAAGCCAAATAAATTATTAATGAACATGTAATAATTTCTAAATAATGCAAGATAATACTCTGTTCAGTACTGCAAATAGTGTGATTATAGAATATAAGCACAATAAGAGTTCAGAGATAGGAGAAGGCTTAGTGAGTTAGAATGGTCAGAGAAGACAGTTTGACTTTGGCCTTTGGAATAAGTAATATTTTGAAGGGAAGTGGGGAAAAGGCATTCCAGATAAAGGGAAATAATGTGAGCAAGGTCATATGAATGAATATAGAATCTTTACATTAAAAAATAACCCTGTAATTTAATACTTTCATTTTACAGTGAAAGATTTCATGAGAAATAAGGTTGGACTAGGAGGGTAGAGCCAGGTTTTAGGAGGCCTTGAAAAGTCAGCAAGAAAGATTTGGGAAATGCAACAAGTAGTAGGGAGTCCCTGTAAATTTTTTGAAGGAAGGGGAGAAGTACCTGCTATATGCCAGGCACTACTCTAAGTGCTGTGCAAATGTTATCATTTGATTCTCATGGTAACCCTGTGAAGAAGGTGCCATTATCATCCTCTGAGACAAAGGTTCAGTGACTTGCTAAAAGTCACACAGGTAGTAAGGAGCTAAACTAAAATTTGAACTCAGGTCTTTCTGACTCCAGGCCCAGCACTCTACCTACTGTGCTACCTAGCTGACAAAGTTTTTTGAGCAGAGAAATGACATAAAGAAAATATTGTTTAAAGAAGATCTGACAATAGTCTATGTCGTATGGATTAGAGCAGGTCAGCAAACTATAGCCTTTGCCCATTCCTGTTTTGTATGGCCCTTAAGCTGAGAATGGTTTTTATATTTTTAATGACCCCTGGATCAGAGGAAAGAAAGAAAGGATAACAGGGAGAAAACTATTTTAGTAATTTAGGGAAGAGAATTATAAGGGCTTGAAGTAAAAACTGGCAATTGGATTATTGAAGAAAGGATGAATTTGTAAAGGAAGGTTTAACCAGACTTGGTGGTTGACTAAATATAAGGAGCAAAGTACTAATCATCCACAAGCATTCATCAAGCCCTGATTATGTGCCAAGCACTATGCTGGGTTTCCCAGATATGAAAACAAAGAATGAAATAGTCCCTGCTCTTAGAGAATTTACATTCTGTTGGGAGAGACCGTGTGTACATATGTAAGTATATACACAATCAATCAATCAGTAAACATTTATTAGTACCTACTATGTGTCAGGCATTATGCTAAGCACTCAGTATACAAAAAGAGGCGAATATGAATAAAACAAACACAATGGACTTAAATACAAACTACTTAGGAAGGGAAGCACTAACGATAAGAGGGAAGTGGAAAATCTTCATATTAATGGTGATGCATGAGCTGAGTCTGGAAGGAGGGAAGAGATTCTATATCATGTAGATAAGGAAAGCATGTGAGCCAAAGAACATGCCAGAATTTTGTGCTTGGCTGAATAGATGTGTATTGGTGCCATTTATAAAGAAAGGAAATTTGTTAAGGGAAACCAGCTTGAGAGAAAAGTTGAAAAAACAAACAAACTGTGTTTAATGTTAGTTTGAACTGATAATGGGACATATGAGTGAAGATGTCCCAAAGTATGGAAATTTGGGGCATAGAGTCTGAGTAAGATGTCAGGCCTGGAGATGTCAATTTGACAATCATTAATGTAGAAGTAGTAGAAATAATTGACTCTTACATGGTCTTTAAGGTTTGCACAATGCTTTACATAAATAGTCTCTTTTGAGCCATGAAGGAGGTTAAGTGATTTGCCTGGAGTTGATCACTGTTGGAGGCACAATATCAATGTATTACAACTTCCTGCCTCCAAGTCCAGCTTTCTATCTGCTTTGTCATTCTTCCTCTTCAAGGAATCATAGAACATCAGAGTTTGAGGAAACCTTACATCTTAGCCAATTCATTCATTTTTCAGATGAGTCAATTGGGGCCCAAAGTGGTTGTGACTTGCTCAGGGCTACTCAGTAAGTAAGTGACAGAGTCAGGAATTGAGTATCAGTCTCCTAACTGCAAGATGGATTCTTTTCTATTATACCATGCTCCTTCCTCCACTTAAGATATGAAGATAAATGAGTAATAATAATTGCTACTTACAGGACATTATAAGTGTGGATTGCAAAGTGGATTACAATACATTATTTCAGTTGAATATCCCAATAACAGAAGTAAATAAATACTATGGTTATTATCTTCATTTTCTTAATTAGGAAACTGAGGTTTTTTAGAAATTGCATAGCTCATATATCATGACATAAGTAATAAGTATCAGGGATAGGATTCACAACCCTGGTCTATAACAGCAACAATATTTTTTTAAACAACAATAACAACTAGCATTTATATAGCTCTTTCTAAAGGAATGTACTTTAGAAATATTTTCCTCTTATCCTCACAACGACCCTGACAGGTAGGTGCTATCATTAGCTATATTTTACATATGAGGAAACTGAAGCAGTCAGAGTTTAAGTGAGTTATGCAAAGTCACATAGTGTCAGAGATTAAATATGAACTCAGGTTTTCCTGTCTTCAGGTACAGCACTCGGTTCACTTTGCCACCTAGTTGCCTGTCTCCAAGGTTCAGTACTCTTTCCACTGCACTATGGAAACGTGTAAAGTATATGTGTATTAAAGATGCCTTTTCAATTTGTAGGTACAACAGTGGGTCAAGTCTGTGCCACAGATGCTGATGAACCTGACACAATGCATACTCGCCTGAAGTATTCCATTATAGAGCAACAGCCACCATCACCTATATTATTTTCTATACACCCAGTCACAGGTGTGATCATCACAACATCATCTCGGTCTGACAGAGAGGTATCATAAATATTACAAGACTAAGTACTTAAAGAATAAACATTTAGGAATAACTCGTTTGGTGCTAAATATGTATTCTAGTAAAGGAATATGTACCTTGAATTTCACTAGTTCAAAATTTAAACTGAACTAGTAAATTCTTTTAAATTTTAAAAATTGTGTTAGCAGAATTTGTGAACCCGAGCAGTGAATCCTTTTATGATGCTAATAGCTAATTTTTAAAAGTTTAGACTTTTTTGATCAGTTATTCTGTAATATGTACAAATTGTGACAAATTCAAGAAATGTCATTTTGCTAAAAGTCAAAGAAAATCCACTTGAATACAAGAATGCAAAGAAAGGTTTGCTTCACATGACTCACAAGTTGTATGTTTTATAGGTTATTTGTATTCTTTGCTCTATGAAATACATTTCAGGAAAAGTAATTATAAGGCAAATACCACTTTATCATTGACTTCTATTTTAAAAGATATTTTCCCATAGAAAAGATTCTTCTAATTGAGTTAAAAAACAATCTCAACAAGAAAAGCAGTCATGATAGGATCATAGATTGGAAACTTAGAAGCCATTGAGTTTAGTGCTTCATTTTATAGATGAAGAAACTGAGGAACCAAAAGGTTAAATGATTTGCCCAGGGTCATACAGCTCATATGTGAAGCAAGATTTGAATCTAGGTCATCCTGACAAACCTAGTATCCAATCCACTGTGCAATACTATATCTCATATAGCAGAGATGAAATTAGTTTTATGGCATATTTAATATGATACTTAAAAAAATAAACAACAAACTTTGCAATAATTTCCTAACCCTGATATCTCATTTTTCCTCTGTTGCTCTCCATCTTTGCTCAATCCTTGGTATTTCTCCCATACCTGAGTATCTGTTAAGATAGTATTAGAACACTCACATTTCAGCTTTTTTCTTTTATTTTGATTTTTGCAATTTGCAATAAGCCTAGTTTACTTTAGCCTGTTTAGCCAATACATATGCCTATAAATAACATACTCCATTCTCTAAATGTTTTAGGTTTGAAGCTTTAGATTCTAGAAAACTAACTAGCTCATGTCTTTTTTAAATAGGTGTTTATGGTAAGGGAAAGAGATGCTATGTAGGACTTGCATGAGTTTAGTAAGGATGGGGATCAGGAAAGAAATACTACCTCAGCTCAAGTTACTCTTCATAGAAGACATGGAATCGCAGGATTTAATTGAATAAAGGAAAGGAGGAGTTGGAGTGGGAAGAAAGACATTTTAGGCAGAAGATTAATTTGGGGAGTCTGTTTCTCATCTGATGAGGCAGTAATCTTGTGAGTAGCATAATCCAGATCTTAAAATCCTCATTTTATGAATAGAAAAGTATGTTTAAGAAGGGTGGATGTTTAAGAGGGAAGATGTAGGGAGTTAGGACAAAGGTCTCCCGACTTCTCTTGCTATTTTTTCCCCAAACACATCAAAATTTACTTTTAATTAGTTAGGTGAAGCAGATTATTTATAACAGAGTAGAAGGAACAGAATATAAAGGGCTACTTTCCGTATTGGAGCAGAGCTTGAAGATCTGAGAACTGTTTCATTGTATAATGAAGAGTCTTATTAGGACAGTGTTTTTACTGTGGTCTTGAGAAAAGCACTTACTCTCTCAGGAAGTCAGTTTCTTCATCTGTAAAATGGGAAGTCAAATTCAACAAATATTTACTAAGTAACTACTGTGTAAGACACTTTGCTTGGTAGTGGAGGATCAAAGTGAATTAAGAAACATGCCCTATTTTTAACAAGCTTACAGTCTAATAGGTAGCATAAGGTGAGTACAAATAAATGATATTCAACAGAATGTGTTTAGCATGCAGGAAAGATCCAGACAAAGTGCCATGAGAAATTTGAGGAAGGAAAGATCACTTTCATTTGGTGGGGGAGAATAGGGAAGAGGTGGTACCTGAGTTTGGCCTTAAAAGAAGAGAGAAATTTCAACAGGATGGTTTGAGGAGGAGATAGAGATCCTGGCATGGGGGATGGCATAGGTGAAAGCATGGAAACTGAAAAGGGCAGAATGAGAAGGTGGAAAAATGAATAGACCAATTCACCTGGAAATACTATTTAGAAAGTTTGCTTGGCACTAAGTATTCTCCTCTAGGAATGGGAAATTATGAGTAAACTCAGCTGGTATAATTCAGATGGGCAATTCTGGGCTTGACTAAGCATGATTTCATCATTGCTTGCTCCCAGTGACTAGCACAGTGGTTGGCACATAGTAGGTACTTAATAAATATTTATTGACTGACTCTCCAATACACATTTATGTAATGGCACTGAAGCAGCATGAACTATGACACTGAACAAATGCTAGGGTACACCCCCACTTGCCATAATGAAAACACAAAGGGAGAAAAACCATGGGCACCATAACTACGTTGCTCCACCTTCATTCTCTCTGCCATACTTGTTCCTGCTACAGTCTTCCCCGTAACCATATTTTGGCCTATTGGCTCTAAGATATGCCAGTCTCTTTCCCTTATCTGCTACTCTAGATATCCTGGTACAAGTGTTAGTACAGTTAGCTACCACTTGTTTTGCCTATTTTTGGCAGTAATGGCATTGTGAAAACATCCTGGTTACTTGTAACTTCTGTACCCATTCTTCCTATATTTCCTAGAAGATGGATTCAAGTTGTAGAGTATATTGAAAGACAGGAAAAGGAGTTTATATTTTGTTTAGTAGGCAAAGCGAGTGATCACTGATTTATTTTGAGTAGGGGAGTGACATGATTAGAGCAGGGGCATTAGGAAAATTATTTGGCCAAGAGGATAAAGAGTAATTTGGAAAGGACAGAGTTTAGGTTTACAGAAAATCAGTTAGGATATTATTATGGTATGATGAAAAAAGGTTTAAAGATCTCAAAGGAAGTGGAAAGATGGGGAGGGATCCAAGAAATATCTCAGAGGTAGAAACAAAAGAACTTGCATTTGATTTAATAGGAAGAAAAATGTTCTCTTTGAATTGAATGGGAGCCTTAAAGGTGACTAAGGTTTTGAGCCTGGTTAAGGGTGAGAATAGTGGTACCATCATCAGAAACAGAGAAATTAGAGGGAAAGGATTTCAAAGGCATAAAAATGCCTGCTCCATTTACATCATAGAATTGTTGGGAGAATCAAATGAGATAGCTTATGAACCATTCCCAGAAAACTGAAGAGCATTACACAAATTTGAGTTTGTATTACAGTGGTAATAATGATAATTAACCATGTTTTGGGAAAAATGATATTTAATGTATATAGGTTGATTCTTTCAGCCTAGTAATGAACGTTTTACTTTGTTTTCAGCTCGTGGACAAATACAAATTGACACTAAAAGTACAAGATATGAATGGTCAGTATTTTGGACTGTCCACTAAGTCAACTTGCATCATTTCAGTTGGAGATGTGAATGACAACTTGCCGATTTTTACAAGAGCTTCTGTAAGGGCATGTCTTTGTCAAATGTAACCTCTCAAAAAAATGTTTAATGCCAGTGTTAAATGTTGTTGCATCCCAACTTGAGTCATATTGTCTAATATAATATAAGATTTATCACTTAGGATAATAGTCAGTAACTTGAGTAATAATTAGTAAGAGTTAAGTTGCCATTTGGATTACCACTGTAGTTATTTCTCCACTATAATTAAATTTAACACAATTTCAGTTTCAGACAGGGTCAGCCTTAGACAAATTTTTCTTCTATGTTGTCTTTCCATTTTTCCCCTGTTTCTTTTATTGTCTTCTCTGGAAAAAAAAATAACTCTGAATCAGATCTAAGTGCCTCAGGGACTGTGTCTTATGCAAGACATTTTTTGGTAAGAAGCTAACCTTGCCCCTTGAGACTATATATCTCCATGTACTTATCTATTCTAACATGTAAGATTAGCTTAACAAATCTTCTAGCCTGTAAATCAGGGATATAATCACAGTTTAAATTCATGTTTTATACGGCGTGTGGGTATGTGTGTGTGTGTGTGAAAAAAGAAAGAGAGAGAAAGTGAGAAAGTGAGAGAGAGAGAAAGAAAGAGAGAGAGAGAGAGAGGGAGAGAGAGAGAGAGAGAGAGAGAGAGAGAGAGAGAGAGAGAGAGAGAGAGAAAGAGACAGAGATTGAGAGATTTAGGAATCAGGAAAATAATTTTCACTTCCTTTATATGGTAGTGTTTTTCTATAGCAATATTTAGTAATAACAATTTTTTTTTCAGTATGTGACAGAAGTAGAAGAAAATAAAAGCAATGTGGAAATACTTCGATTAAGTGTAGAAGATAAAGATTTGATTAACACTCCTAATTGGAGGGCTAATTACACCATTTTAAGGGGTAATGAAAATGGGAATTTCCACATTGTGACAGACCCCAAAACCAATGAAGGAATTCTTTGTGTTGTTAAGGTAAGAAAGTAAAAAAAATTAAGAATTCAGTTTAAGAAATAAAAAAATATATATTTAGTGCAAATTAAAGATTTATTTTGATAGCTATAGGAGTAAAATATTCATATAAAGAATAAAATTATTGTGTTTGAATCATGTAATTTCAGACCTAGAAGGAGATGCTGGAAACATGAAGTTCAACCTCTCAAGAAGTGTAGTCTTCATCTCTAGAACCCTGACAAAGGGTCATTTAGCATTGCTGGAATACTTCCAAAAATGGAGAGTGCAGTACTTCATAAAACAGACCATTCTATTTTTGAATAGTAGATTTTTAGAAAGTTTTAAAAACATATGGCAAATACAACTCCTTGCAGTTTACACTTAGTAGTCCTTATTCTAATCTCTGGAACTACATGGTTGATCCCTCTTCCACATGATAGCTTTTCATGGTTGAAGAAAACTATCATATCTTTCTCAAGTCTTTTATGTAGGCTAAAACCCTTCAATCTTTATAATAATTTTTCTTATGACATGGTTTAGAGACCCCTCATCTCCCTTACTATCCTCACTTTTTCTAGCTAGTTTGTCAGTATCCTGCTTAAACTATTACATCCAGAGTGAAACGCAGTACATCAGATGTGCTTTGATGGAGGAAAAAGCACAGAGGAATTTGTCCTGAACATTATATATTTTTTTTTTTGCCTAGAGTGGACAGGGTCTGATTTCTTGCTTCATTTTGTATGAGAAGGGAGGTAATTTCTCACATCAGTATCATCACAGATTCTAACATATAAAAAAGCTTTTCCAAAACATGGTTTAAGGAGCTTCTCAAAGTAAAAGGGAACCTTGATTCTCTTTCATCATTGAGGAATTTTTTGCTAGATAAGAAGGCAGACTTCCCCAATGAAAAATAAGGTAGCTCCTATAACCTAATGAAAATTGACCTGGGCTGACCGCCACATTTTAAGGGAAATTCCCTTTCACTTCTTTACCTCATATATGATTCAGTGAGCTTGTTATAGTCTGTGAGAGCTGAGGGCAGAAACATTGAGGCCCCTTTTTTTATGGGATCATATTAGCACATACATTTTGTAGATGAGAGTTTTTGATTCTCAGCCTCAGTGAAGACACAAACATTTGAGACTTGTCTTGTTGTACTCTTGTGGAGTCTAGGCACAATACTGAGTGGAAAGAGTATGGAATTTGGAGTTAAAGGACCTAGGCTTAAGTTTCAGTTTTGCTACTTATTACTATGTATATGACCTAGGACAAGTCACAATCTTTTCAGGGCCTTAGTTTTCTCATCTGTAAAATCTAGAGTTTGGACTATGTCATTTCTAAAAAATTCTTTCCACTTCTACATCTATGATAAAGTAATGTAGATTTGCTAGTTTCTTGAAAACTGCTTCGGTCAGAAACTATGGATTGTTCTTACCACCAGCCGAGCATGAGGGTCAAGATACTGAATCAAACTTTCAACCATATTTAGCATGTTTGATGGAGAGGTGAAGCCAAAAGTATTTGGTTGGAATAGGAGAGAAAAAAAGGAAGGGAGAATATCCTTATTCTTTGTTATTAATACTTCTTATTCCCTGGACTTGAAAAAGGAAATTTGGGAGAATAGAACGGCATTTACATAGCTCAAAAATCACTTGATCATCTAAACCGATTATAATCAACAATGACAAATAGCAACTGAGGGTTGCATAGAATTGACTCTGATTTAATACCCTTGATTTTACAGGGCCTGAATTATGAGGAAGCACGCCAGGTAGTCCTGCAAATTGGTGTAACTAATCAGGCTCCATATTCTGGATCTGGTAGTTCAAAGACAATAAGCACGACTACAGTTACTGTTAATGTTAAGGATCAAGATGAAGGGCCTGAATGCAGCCCTCAAATGCAGACTGTTCATGTGAAAGAAAACACAGCACTGGGGACACAAGTCACTGGTTATAAAGCCTATGACCCAGAAACCAGAAGCAGTAGTGGCATAAGGTACTAATAAGTTTGTGTTGAAATAATTATACATTTATTATATTTTTTAAATTGGAGAATGTTAAGTATTTGTATCACAGTTACTCTTTGTAATACTTTTGACATTTTGTAAGATTCTGAATTTAATTCCTTATTAACAGGTATCAAGCATTAAATGATCCAACAGGATTGTTCACAGTTGATGAAACATCAGGTTCGCTCAAAATTCGTAGAAGTTTAGATAGAGAGTCAAATACCTTCAGACAAGGCTTATATAATATCACTGTACGGGCAGCAGACAATGGTAAGAACGTTAATTTTTTTTTCCTAAAAACTAAAATAGTCCAGGAAAGAGAACAGCAGAAATTGGTGTATATTATCAGTGCTTGCATCTTCAATGCCCCTCTACCCCCACCCCCCATTCCTGGCCCAGGGTAATAGAGATTCCTATGTTGCTGATTTATGTACACTTTCAATTTAATTATTTATTCAATTTCAAATCATTTAATTATTTATTTAAATATTTAATTAATATATTTAATTTAATTATTTAAAATTAAATTTAAAATTATTTATTTAATTTAATTTATCATTAATAAACTTTGTACTGCATTCTGAAAGAAATACAGTGTCTTGAAAGTCTTGGTGCTGTTTGAAGCTATTAAAACATCAAGACTTTTGAGAAACCATGTATTAAGGGTTGCCTTCAAGTGGAAAATAAGTCACAAAAGGACTTGCATGTTTGGTCAGGATGGAGGGTAGGGAGTAGGTAGTCAAGCTTCTTGTCATTAATAGTCTACTAATAATAAACTGAAAGGATATGAGAACAATCTTAGATCATAAAATTGAAACTAAAAGTGATGTCAAAGATCACATATTTAGAGCTAGTAGGGAACTTAAAGATTGTCTGGTCCAGGGATGGGGAATCTGTGGCCTCGAGGCCACATGTGGCCCTCTAGATCCTCAAGTGCAGCTCTTTGACTGAATCCAAACTTCGCAGAAGTCCTTTTATGAAGAGGATTTGCTCTATGAAGTTTGGATTCAGTCAAAGGGCCTAAATTGAGGACCTACAAGGCCACCTGTGGTCTAGAGGCTGCAGGTTCTGCACTCTTGGTTTAGTCTAATGAATTTGACAGAGGAAGAAACTGAAGGATGAAGTGACTTGTCTAAGGTCACACAGGTGTTCCCAGTTTTCCTTTACCACTCAATCTATCCTCTACCCTATTGCTAGACTAATCTTCCTAAAACACTGCTTTGATCAGGTTACTTTTTTATCTATATGGTTAAGTTCAGACCACTTAGCTGGCATTCAGCCCCTTCCCCTCCCTCTTTACAAGTTCTTTTCAATTATTCAACTATGTGCTCATACTGCATTGCATATTTTGTTTTATTCTGTCATTGAATTTGCTCATGCTACTTTACCCACCTGAAATGATCTATCTACAACAGTGGTCTCAAATTCAAATAGAAACAGGGCCATTATTCTGTACATAAGGATCCCTGTGGGCTGTGTTTCTGACTTTGTTTTGTTGACTTTGTTTTAAAATATAATGTTATCTATGTTTTATTGTATTTTTATTTATTCTGTTAAATATTTTTCAGTTATATTTTAATTTGGTTTGGCTGCACTTGGCAGTCTAGGCCACATGTGGCTTGTGGACCATGTGTTTGGCACTTCTTATTTCTATTTTACCCATCTTTCCATATTTAGTTCAAACTCTACCTACTCTGTAAACTCTTCTTTGTCTACTCAAGCCAGAAAAAGTTGTACCCTTCTCCAAATTCCTATGGGAGTTGTTGACTGTACAATTCATTTTATAATGAATCATTTTTGTCTTGTAATGTCTCTTGAGGGAAAAGACTGTCTTATATTTTATATCTCCCACTTGCAAATGACACTTGTGCCTTGCACGTAGTAAGTGCTGAAATATGTTCACTGGATTTTGTTCACCAGGAAATTATCAAATGCTAAAGGATACATTACATTTTAACCAGATGAGACAATATACTGAATAGTCTTGTGAACCTTAATGCGCTTAATAAATGTCAGTTGCTAATATGTTATCACCATCATTGTTACTATTATTTCTGTGTTCTAGGTGGCAGAACATGTACCGGTACCCTGAGAGTTGTTGTTGATGATGTGAATGATAATGGTCCATCCATACCTACAACAAAAGTGATAATCTGTAAAACGCAAATGGGCTCAGCAGAGATCGTTGCTGTGGATCCTGATGAACCTATCAATGGTCCACCCTTTGAATTCACCTTGCCAAGCAATAATGAACGTGTTGGTGGTGGAACATGGAGACTTAGCAAAATTAATGGTGTGTATTCATAAATAATTTCTTTTAAAAGACTTTATTCCATGGAACATCATCAAAATAGCTAGGATTTATATAGTGCTTTAAGGTTTATAAAGCTTTTTACAAATATTTCATTTTAGCCTAAAAAAATTCCTTGGGAGGTAGGTTCTATTATTATCTACATTTTACAGTTGAGAAAATTGAGGTAGATATCTTAAAGTAACACAGTTTGCAAGCTGTCTGGAGCTAGATTTGAACTTAGGTCTTCTTAAATCCAAGGCCAGTGTTCCATTCACTACATCACTTAGATGTACCTAAATCTTGGTATCATTGCCCATTTTGACTTCTTGTTTACAGTGTAAGAACAACATACTCATAACATTTATAGTGGAGATTAGGCAACATTTTCACTTGTTTTCCTAGGAGGTGTTGTCCTCTTTAGCCTGGTTCAAGAATCCCTGAGGATTTCATTCACCCTCCTTGAATCATCCTGGTCCAAACAAAATAATCATCCTAAACCCCAGGTCTAACCAAGCCACTTTTTATTTTATTATTTCCTATTATTTCTAGAATAAAATATAACCTACTCAGCTTAGTTTTTAAAATCCTTCATCTTCTGGCTCCAGTCTACCTCTCCAACTTACTTCAGATGATTCCTTTTCATATATTCTCCATTCTAGCCAAACTGACCCACTTGTTCTTCCATCTCTTAACCTTTGTACAGACTGTCCTGAATGTTTAGAATGCTCTCTTTCCTTACTTACATCCTTTTCTTGGAATCCTTACCAGCTTTCAAGGCTCAACTCAGATGTTACATGCTAAGTGAATTCTTTCTTTATCCTTTCAGTTAATGCTTTCTTCACTTGTCATTATTATCTTGTATTTATTTAGATATGTAGATGATGTATTCACCCAGTAGTAGCTCCTAAAGGGCAAGGCTGTTTTTTTTGGCTTTGTATCATCCACTTTTTTTTGGTATGGCCCTGTCATTTTATTATTTTAGGGGTACTTGTGGGGAAGAAACTCCCTCTAATCATGTAGATCATTAGTTGTTCTACAACTAAAGTCTTAGAGAGTTGCTTGGACACTGAGGTTTTAATTTACTTGCCCAGGATCACTCAACTAGTATGTTTCAGAGAGCAGACTTGAACCCCAGATCTTCCTGACACTGAAGTTGGCTCTCTCTACTGAACTGTCATTCACATAGTCAGTACTTAATAACTGCTTGTTGAGTTGAACTAAATCAAATGAACCTAGAAATCCAGAAATTTAAATATTTCATCACTGAATGCCCTGGTAATGTATATATGCCAATCTTATTTTCTTCTTTTATTAAAGCTATGGAGCTAAGTGGTGCAGTGGATAGTGTGTTAGGACTGCAGCCAGGTAGATCTGAGTTCAAATCTTCTCAGCCATTTACTAGCTGTGTAAACCTGGGCAAGTCATTTAATCTGTTTGCCTTGGTTTCCTTATACGTAAAATGGGGAAAATAATGACATCTATCTCACCGAGTTGTAAAGAAATACTTTGTAAACTTTAAAGCACTATATAAATGCTATTACTATTAATATTACTAATGATGATGATGATGATGATAATAATTACTAAGAATCTCAAATTCCTATCAGATGTTCAGCTTCTAAAGGAATTGTGGATATTATAATTAAGAAGAAAAAACTTGGGGGATATTATAGATGTTTTTAAGCATTTTAGGGGGTGTTCTGTGGAAGAAGGGTTAGATTTATTGTTTTTGGCTGTGGAATGAAGAGTAGAGGATAGAAGTTACAGGCAAAAAAGTATAGGCTTGATATGAAAAAAATGGGGTTATAAATTCCTTTGGAAATTTCTGCCTCTGAAGGTAGTTGCTCTTTGAATGTTTTCAGGCAAAGGCTATTTGACCACTTGTTAGATACGTTGTAGCTACAATTCTTTTTTTTAGGCATGGATTGTACTAGCAGGACAATGAGGTCCCTTCTAACTTTGAAATTCTGTGATTCTGTTTTGGATCCTTTTATCTTCTTTTTGCATTCCAACACTTGCATTATATCTTATATCATTTGGAATATCATTATTATAGTTGATGAGAATTCCTGAGAGAGATATAGATGTTTATCTGAATGTTTTATAACAAATACTGCCTTTTATTTTCTTTCAGATACTGCTACACGCATATCCTTCCGCAATGATCCTGCATTTGGGATATATGAGATACCTGTTTCAGTCAGAGATAGACTTGGCCTGTCTACAACCAGCGTAGTGAGTGTTGATCTGTGTGATTGCGTTGTTCCAAGTGAATGTAGATCTCGTACATCTCCAATACGAGGTGCAAATGATGTAACACTTGGAAAGTGGGCCATCCTCGCCATGATACTGGGTGCAGCATTACTGTCTTGTAAGTGTTTTGATTTACTTCAAATATAAATAATTTTAAGTCATTCTGAAAATTAGTATTATATTTAAAGTGTACATACAATGCAGCAACTATATATAGTCTTACAGCCAACCAATTCTTAAGTATATAATTAAAAGTATGAACAATACATATTGTGACTTTAGTCTGAGAACAATGTCATTTGTCATTTTAGGGCAAAATTGTCTTATGATTTGAATTTATTTACATAAGCAATTCTTTGAGAAATTTTCAAGATCTTTTCCCTGAAGGAATGCTTTTATTTACATAGAAAAAAACTTTCTCCAAAAGTTAGTCTGAATAACTACGAGAAAAATTCTGGTTTTATAAATTAAGCTGGTTTGAATTAGGTAAAATTTTGATCCATTAGGGAGGTATACTTTAGCACATCATTCCTTGTGTGTCTCATTGCTTATGCAAACAAGACTAAACTCAGGTTGTCCAAGTAGTCAAGTTGAAATTAATTCCATACATATTCATCCATATAATTCCATACATTCCATAATGCTCTTTTAATATAAATTATTCAAGTGGTTCTTTTCTCCTCATAGGTATCCTATTTACATTAGTTTGTGGAACTTCTGGCTCCTCCCAAACAAAAAAAACCTTCCCTGATGATTTGGCTCAGCAGAACCTTATTGTATCAAACACCGAAGCCCCTGGAGATGACAGAGTGGTAAGTGGGTTATATTTTAAGAACAAATATTTAGCTAAAAAAGCTTCATTTTTTTTCACAAGAAAGTCTTATTGATAACCAAGAGGTATTCATCTAGTAATAGGTCATTGGTGTCTTTACAATATTTAGTTTTCATAACATGATGCTACTTAATAATAAAACAATCCTCAGACATTTAATTTAACTGTTTAAAGCCCTCCTGCAATGCTTCCTTGTGGTATTAAGGTGACCATGGAATTTTGAAGATTATTCACAGACTGTGTTATTGAGCACAAGTTGTGTCAGCTTCTGACAAGTTGGAAAGGTTTTGAGTGTGGGCCCAGCTACGGGCTCACAGATTCTCCTTATGCTGTCCAATAAAGGATATCATGCTAACATCATGTAACCAAAGGCTGCCAAAACCTTCATTTCATAGGATATTTGGTCATCTCTCCATGATAACCTCATGATAACTGAGTAACCATTAAGATGATTATACCCTGGTCACATATGTTGCAAAGGATGATAAAGTAGAGAATGTCCTAAGATATTACACACAGTTAAGGTTTTACATTGATATCTGATGACTTTTATGTAAAAGTGGGCACAGAAGACGATGAAATTTTTGATGTAACATACTATTTGGGATTAAGAAATGAAATAAACTAAAGACTGGCAGACTACTTAAGTTTTCTATAATCCAGTTTAAACATCTCTAGTTCCTTCAAGTGATCATCATATAGCATCTGTTTCAGGCCCTTCATTATCATGGTTGCCCTCCCTTGCATTTTATCCAGCTAATTAATGGCCTTTCAAAATTTTTTAAATTTCATTTTGAACTTAAATATATAGACAGAAAAAGAACATTTCCATGTATACAGAACATAAAAGAGGATTCACTATAAAACCATGAATTTGCATTTCCTACTTTTAATGTCCATCTTAAAATTTGTTATCCGATGTCGTCCAACCAGAGAAAGACAGTCACCTCTTTATTCCTGGATCCTATACTTCTCTTAAAGTAGTCTAAGACTGAATTGACATTCTTAGCTGAAATCTCACACTGTTGACTTACAGAACTTTAAATCCACTTCAAACTCCATTTTTTAAAAGATTAACTTCTGTGTAGCCCCCGAAATTGCTTGTACTTCTGAAGTTGATTCATTGTACCAAGTGTACAATTTTACATTCACCTCTATTAATGATTTAGTTCAAATTTGCTAGTCTGTCGAGACCTTTTGAATCCTGACTCTGTTATCCAGTATATTAACTATTTCTCTCAGCTTTGTGCATTCTATAAATGTGAGAGGAATGCCTGTCTGTGCTTTTATTCATCACTGATAAAAATCTTAAGTAGCACAAGCCTCAGCACAGATTTTGAAGTGCTCTGCTGTAGAACTCTTTCCCAGTTTTCATCAAACCATTAATGACTACTCTTTCATTCCTCCATTCAACTAGCTCTAAATACACTTAATTGTGTTTTCCTCCAATCCACATCTATCTATATTTGTTCACAAGAATAACATCAGAGGCTTATTAAATGCTTTGTTGAAAATCTAGGTAAGCTATAGCTGTAGTATTCCCTTGCTCTGTCAATCTAATTTTGACAAAAAACAAAGGAAATAAAATTAGTTTAACATGATACGGATTTTTTTGAATCTCAGAATAATCTGAGTATTTATTTTCTTTCTTAAAATTGGTATCTTTTGTTCTTAAAGGGCTTTCATTTCTAAATACATCCCTTTCTTCTCTCATACCCAACAAGCCATCACATGTATTAAAGAACAAAAAAAAAAGAAAGAAAAAAACTAACACACCATCTAACACAATATATTATATTCTTAATGAAGTCATGTTGGCTCCTTAGGATCAAAATTCCTTCTCTTTCTGTAATTTTTTCCCTACTTATCAAGAATTTGTTTTGTTTCTCCTCCTTGGAAGAAAAAGAAAAAAAAGTTTTAGATGTTCAGTAATCACATCTCTAGTTATACTTCCTTTAATTTTTCCTAGAATTGAAGTCAAAGGCTATTTTTCCATTTTCCATTTCCATTTTCCATTTTTTGAAAGTCGTAATACCATTTGTCTGTTTTAAGATCAGGTGACTTGAACACATGGTTAGTGAGATGCAATCTTCCATAACTCCTTAAGTCATCTTGATTATTGTCTGTTCTCCATTTCTGTTCTGTCCTTATTGCATCCAAAGACTATGCTTCTTGGTAGAAAAACAGTTGCAAAATGATAGTTGAACAGGCCTGCCTACTCTCACTAGTCAGTTGTCTTTTCCATACCCTCCTCAAGCAGCTTATCTTTGGCAGCAGCTAGTTACTGATGTGGGAATCATTTCAGAGGAAATTGTCTAAGTCTAATCAGGTCATTGACCAGCAAAGGTAAACATTTAATGCCAAGTTGGAAAAAGGGATAAATGTGAGAAAGTAAATATGAAATTATAGCAGTTCCAACATGACCTGTTTAACCTAGCTGTTGGTTTGGGCAGATGGTAAATCGTGAAAGTATGATATTGATTATATTATAATTTTTATAGTTTAACAAATTCAAAGCAATCACCACTATAAAGAGGCAGGAAGAAGCTACCTCAGGCAGCAAATATTTGATCTCTTTGCCAAACGGAGAGAAAAAGAATAGCCAGGGGCAACATTGATAAAGAATATAAGCTAATTTGCAAAACATTATGGAGGAGGAGGATTGTGGACAAAATCACTTCATAAAGCAATGAAAAGTTGAAGGGGGATAAAGGACTACAAAGAACTCAGTGTCAGACCCAACCGTGATATTCAGAGCATTTGTAGTTGATACTGGACAGCGGACAACAAATGGATGCACAGTAAACCCCATCTACTAGCTTATTTTGGTTTTTATGTGATTAACAACAACGGTAATAGCTGACTTTAATGTAGCAATTAAAGGTTTGCAAAATGTTTTAGATAATTCATGTGAACTCATATGAGCTTGACCATCATGTCTAGTAGGTGCAACAGATACTATTTTCATTTTATGGGTGAGGAAACTGAGACGTTGTGGCATGCTTGTGGTCACTCAGCTAACAAGTACCACAAGCTAATTTTGTACCCAAATTTACTTACTCCAATTCTAACACTCTATTATGCTCTTCTACCTTTCAATTATTAAATATATTTTGATGAGTGGGAAAAAAAGGATATCAGGGCACCTAAAATTTTGGTCATCCTATTATCTAAAATTGTTATCAGTACTTTAATACAGAACTTTAATTTCATCAATGAGGCACTCCTGGTGCAGAAATTCCACTCACTGATATAGATTAGCATGTGGTCTGTGTTAGTTTTAGTGCTACAGTGCTGAGAGGTTAGGTGACTTGTCTGGATCACACAGCTAGTATGTATCAGAGGAAGGACTTGATCCAAATCTTTTATGAAAGTAGGGATTGTCTTGCTTTCTGTTTGCAGTCTCAGTGCTTAACACAATTCTTTACATACAATTAGTACTTAATACATGCTTTTTCATTCATTTTCATTCATTAATTCCTTATTGACTCCGAGGTTAGTGCTTAGTTCATTACAAACACAGCCCCTGTTACTAGTTGATCTTGAACTTTCTTGATTAGAAGACTATAATTTTACGTTTGGGTTTTTAGAGAATCCTTGCTCCTGATCATTTTTTTTTAAAGTTGATGATAAGAAGTGTTAGTCAAATCCAACAATTGTTCTATGCGAGGAACTTCCCAGTAGGCATTGAGAAGATAATAAAAATGAAGAAACTGGTCTTGCCCTCCAGAGGCTCATAGTTTAGTTGTGGGGAGACAGTCACAGAAAATTTAATATATGGGAAAATGTGATAGGTTTTATAAGAAATCTAAAACCAAATCTTCATAGGGCATTTTCTGAGAAATGGTGAGGAACGCTTCTATATCTGCCATACACTAAGTGAAAAGATTTCAAACATAGCAAGAGAAATTTGTGTTAAGATGTCTAACTACTTGACTCTGAGGGGTAAGACCCAGAAATAATGTCAAGGGAGACTAGAGAATCTCCTCTGAAAGTTTTAAGAAAAGGAATATCTTTTTGGGATACAGTGAATACTGGTTTTAATGCCCCCAAAGAGGGGAACAGACAAGATAATACCTATGTTTAAATGCCTTTCAGACTTGGGGCATCATGAGCCAGGGCAGGATGGTGTCTACTCTTGACCAACACAATGCTTTACATCAACAAAAAACTTAATGAATGTGCACTGAATTGAATTGTATGTCTAATTTTAGTGATTTTTTTTTAGGCACTAATTCTAGAAATAAAATTATTTCTGGAAATTTAACATTTACAAACTAGAAAAACATAGCATTATCTAAATGATGGGTTTTCTTCCATGTATCCTTGTTCACTTTCTTCCTAACCCCAAACACAATCTCTTCAATTTTTCTTCAGTATTGCACAAATGGATTGACTACGCAGAATGTGAGCACTGGTTGCACATTAATATCAGGAGCAAAAAATGGGCAAGAAAGCTTTGAAATGATCAAAGGAGGGCATCAGACTTTGGAATCCTGTCAGGGAGGAGGGCATCATACCCTGGATTCATGCAGGGGAGGACATCACACCCTGGATTCTTGTAGGGGAGGACAAGTTGAGTTGGACAACTGCAAATACACTTATTCTGAATGGCAGAATTTTACTCAACCCCGTCTTGGTGAAGTAAGTCTTTCCCAATTTTTTAAAGATAATATAGAGTACATCTAAGTTATGATTCTTTCAAACTTATAAATAATGAGCAGTAGATTTCTGATTCAATAATAGAAAATTAGCTTATATCTTCCTTAAAATTATTAGCCTTATTCACAGAGAAGTTACATTTCCTCCCTTGAATTTTGGATTTGGTTATGTCTAAGGAAAAAAAAATCAGATACATTAACTTACTCATTCCATTTATGTCCTTGACTGTTATTTGTACCTTTTTTTTTTAAGTAAATTATCCCAGTTTGTCGAGTTTGGGGAACCAGAGTTTGAAATCAAGCATGGTAAATGTAGTACTTAGCATATTTAGTAACTCTTACCTCTATTAAAAAGATCTGAGAAAAAACCTGGCTCAAGATTAGTTAATTATTATTTCTCTTTGTTGTGATTTCTGAAGGAAACATAGAGATAATATGTAAAAAGTTCTTTGAAGGCCTTAAAACACTATACAAGTCTTAGTTATTATTGAACAAGAAAATTTGTATATGTGCATGTATGTATATTGCCTCCTTTCTGATTATTAGAAGCATGCTAAAGATTGATTTTATAGTATAATCATGATATATACACCAATCATGTGCATTTTTTGTATGTAGGAATCCATTAGAGGACACACTCTGATTAAAAATTAAACAATGAAAGGTAAATCAAAGAAATAATTTTATGTTAATAAGCTTAGGTGTCTAAAAAAAATAATAATGTGTTGTTCATTTTCCCCTGTGCAGAAGGTGCAACTGTGCAATCAGAATGAAGATCAGACCCATGCTCGAGACTATGTCCTTACATACAGCTATGAAGGAAAAGGCTCCACGGCTGGTTCTGTAGGGTGTTGCAGTGAGCGCCATGATGAAGAAGGGCTTGACTTTTTAGATCACTTGGAACCCAAATTTAGGACTCTAGCAGAAGCATGCATGAAGAGATAGATAACTGTCTCTCTAACAATTCAGTACTGGGACTTGGAGTGGAGTTGTGGTTTTTTTTGTTTTTGTTTTTTGGAGACTTCAAAGCTGGGATATTTTAAAACTTGAATACAACATATTATAGGTTTTTATTCTTCATTTGAGAGAAGCTGTTTTGCCAAAATGCATGTTCACATCTTAAATTAAGCATAAAAACTTACCTATGGTCACACTTAAAACACAAAAATTACCTGTCTTCCTTAGAGGAGATTGACAGATAGTAAAATGAATGAACTTGGCATTCTTTACTAGTGGATAGTAAAGGCACTTGGCAGTTTGCAAGATTGCACTAGAAGTATTATAAATATAGTCATATTTTGTTAATTCATGGATGAGCATTCTGAATTAGTAAGTCTGCAGTAAGTACCTTTTTTTTTTTAAAAAAAAAGCACTACAGTTTTATTATTATCAAGCACTTAAAATTACAAAGTTTAGGAAAGCTTTTTTGAGAGGCCCTACTTTTAATTATTACTTTGGTCACTTAGCTCATCAAATGTGTTCAGCATTGGTAATTGTGAGGATGCGTAAAAACAGTTTTCTTCATTATTTTAAATAGTCTTCTCTAGTCTTGGTAACAATTTGTTTAGCATACCCATTTTGAGCAGTGCAAAGATAAGCTTCAGTTGAAAGACTGTCCATCTAAATTATCACTTATTACAATTTAATGGAGTCCAGGTTTCTGATGATTTACTGTATAAAAAAATAATCAGCACTGGATCTACATTTTATCTTTTGAATGCCATGGAAATGTAGACTTCAAATATATTTTCAAAAGTATTTGCATATTTTTGGAAGTTTGTTTTTGCAGTGTTTTTCTTTGATATAATCTTTATATCCTGAATGTTATATTCTTTATTTAAAATGTTTAGCCTAAAAATAGTTATAATATGGGCTAGAGGAACCTAAAACTTCTAAAAATCTTTCCTCAACACCCGTCCCCTTTGCCCTATCAACTCCCTTTGTTTTATGTAAAGCTATATTTTCTTGATTTTATGGAAATATGTGTTATTATAATTGTATCAAATGTCTCTGGTGACTGTTTTGCTATGTCTTTTAGAGTCTTTAATTTTGCCATTAAAATGATAAAAATAAAATTTACTCCATGCTTTCAGTAAAACCAACTTTTTTTTTAAAAGGAGAGACAAAGACAATATGTGAATATACAGCGTTTAGAATTCAATTCAACAATTTATTAAATACCTACCTTGTGCAAAACATTGTGATAAACAACAAAGATGAAAAAAATCACAGTTCATTACATGTACCCAAATTCCTAGAAAATAAGGTAGGGTGTGACAACAGCAGAAGAGAGATGAACATAGAGTCTTCTAAGAAAATTTGAGCCTGGAAATAACACTTTCAGTTAGGTTTATCAAAGAAGGAATCAGGGTAAAGGTTCACCTCAGGTGAACCTTGAAGAATTTAAACAGATAGAAATGTGTATGGAGTAATTCCAGGGATGGAGACAACCTGTGTTTGGAGAATGGGGACGGTAGACCAAGATTGGAGAACAACTAGTTTGGTGTGAACATGGTGGGTGTGGAGGGGCAGAAATGTGATATAATGCTGGAAAGACAGATTGCAGTCAGAGTATGGGTGGTCTTAAATGGAAAGCAAAGGAGACTGTATTTTAATGGAGAGGCAATGGGTAGTTACTGCAGGTTTTTTTAACAGAGGTGTGACATAAAATCAGATTTCTGTATGAAAATGGAATAGATTATTTTAGCAACTGTGTGAAGGATAGGTTGAAAACACCATACACTGTAAAGCAGGATTCTGATTAGGAGGATTTTTAGATTGAGCAAGATAGGATGAGGGCCTGAATTAAAGTGGCTGCTGGGAATGTACAGACAACAGAAGCAAGAGATGATGAAGTGGAATTAAGGAGACCTTGTAAGTCATTGCTAATAAGGGAGGGTACATGAAAATATGCAAAATATGAAAGACATTTTAGGGAAAGCGGATGTTCAATTTTGAAAATGTTGATTTTGGAGTAGATGTATGAAATCACAATTAAAGTCTTCATTAATTATCATCAAATTCCATAGTTGTGTATCTGCTAATCATATTGATCATTTAAAAGTAGTTCCTAATGTTTACTTCTGTGAGTAATGAAAGGTTAATTACCTGAATTTTAATCCAATGCCTTCCCTCTGAGATGACCTCTAATCAACCCTGTATACAGGGTTGGACTAGATGATATCCAAGGTCCTCCAGCTCTAAATCCTATGACATTATATGACCTTGGCATAAATCTCAGTCTAAGAATGCTTCACCAAATTCTCTGTCATAATATTTCTGCTAAAATAGGGGCAGACAAAAACAGTCTTGTGACAGATTAAATTCTAATTCTATACAATGTAACAGAACTGTGCCCTGGACTCCTTTGTTTATAACATTTGGCATTACTATTAGATTAGTAAGATGTATGTCCTTTTACTTAAGAAGCAGGAAGGTAAGTATTATCCACCAGTGCGATGTTTCTTTAATATTTCTTACTAGGAGAAGACTGAAACCCAGGAGTGTGTATTGGCTGATGTTTTATGGAAAGGAACGTTTGTCATTATCCATAACAAAATGCATATTTGCTAACCAATCACTATACAAATGATGATGATATGATAACTAACAATAACCAATATTCTTATAGTAGTTTAAGCTTTACAAAATGCTTTAGAAATATAATTTCATCTTTACAACATCCTTGGGAGATAGGTACTGTTATTATCTCCATTTTCTTGAAGAGGAAACTGAAGCAGATAGAGGTTAAATGACTCATCTAGGCTCACACAGTTAAGTGGCTGAGAATGGATTTGAACACAGATCTCTGATTCCAGGTACATTGCTCTATCCATTGTGCAATTTAGCTGATTCCAAATTCACTCAATTCACTTGGCTATGTAAATTTTTAATGTATACAAATATAATTTTTAAAAATTAAATAATAAATGTTTACTGAATTCAATTCTATTTATGTGGAGGTTGAGTGGTAGGAGAGTACTTAATTCATGGAACTAATGGGCAATTAGTTGTTGTTCAGTTGTTTTTCAGTCATGTCTGACTCTTTGTGACCATATTTGGGGTTTTCTTGGTAATACCACCTAGCTTCCCAGTGGGCCATCAGGATTAATTAATTTGAATGTTGGTACCCTAAATGTATCCTCTTTGTTCAAAGACCAACAAGTTGACATACCTCTAGAAGGAATAAATGTTAATGATAGTCAATGAATTAATCACAGTCACATTATAGGATCATGGGTTCATGAATTTAGAGCTAGAAAGATCATTGCATCCAACTCAGCTTACAAAAAAAAGGAAACTAAAGTAATAGCTAGAATTTATATAGTGCTTTAAAGTTTGCAGACTTTACATACTCATTTGATTCTCAGCTAACACTGTGAGATAGTTGCTATTTATTAATCTCATTTTACAGATAAGGAAACTGAATCTGATAAAGGTCAAAGTCACATAGTTAGTTAGTGTCTGAGACAGGATTCAGACTCAGGTTTTGCTGACTCCAAGTCCAACATTTTATCCATTAGTGCCACACCCCTCCCCAGCTGACTTACACTGATAGTAAGTACTGGACCTTGGATGTATAGGGAAATTATTATCATAAATGAAACCAGAAGACACAAAGAAATCACAACTAAGTGGGATAATGCTTATGGGAGATTATGGGACTTATGGGAGATCATAGTATTGTTCTCCCTGAGTCTCTAAACAGATTGATTCTCTGGGAGGTAGGTGCTATTATTATTTCCATTTTACAATTGAGGAAACTAAGGCAGACAGGTTAAGAAATTTGCCCAGGATCACACAGCTAATACATGTTTGAGGAAACAACACTCCCACACACATAGGTACATATGAAATAGATACAAGGTAATGGGGGTATAGAGGATGATAAAGTAGCTCCTTAGGAAAGATTTCATGTAACAGGTGGTACTTGAGCTGATTCTTGAAATAAGTTAGAAATTCTAAGAGTCAGAGGTGAGGAAGGAGTTCATTCCAGCCAGGAGGAACAACCAAGAACAAAGGTATCAAGATGGGAAATGGAGTGCCTGCCACGTAGGAGAAATGGTAACAAGTCCAATTAAACTGAACCATATAATCCGCAGGGAGTTGCTCATTGACAGGTCTGCCAGTCCCTATATATGCAGTCTCAATACATTTTGTCATTACTATTTATCCTTAGAGTAACAATACCAAATATCCTGACCCACAACCGACCTGTCTTTGACTCTTAAGATAAAATTTTCCCACCCTTTGGGAGTATTTTCAGTCTTTGTTTTGGCAGTCTGAGGAGAGGCAGATGTGCAAAAAAAAAAGTCATGGCATTGGTTCTGACCCAGAGAAAGAAGGTAAAATATCCTAGAAGTCCTGTGTTTGTCTAATGATTGTCAACCAATCTACAGGCAACTACTTTGGTTCTGACTACTGACTCAGAAGACTAGAACCTTGCAGGACTAAACCAAAATATAACCCACTTTTCTTCTTCCCAAGAGAGCAAGAGATTAATTGGTTGATTCTGAATAATCCAGCTAGCACGTGGAATTAAAGCAAGATTACTTTCAGTCATGTGATCTCAAGTCAACAAGCATTTATTAAGCAAATTCTATGGGTCAGGCACTGTACTAAGTGCTAGGGATATAAAGAAAGGTGTCTTACAACACCTGCAGAAGAATAAGGATTCTGAGAAGAAAAAGTGAGTGGGAGGCCTTCTTGAATACAGATAGAAAAAAAGTCTTTACATTTAGGGAAGAGCTATTTGGTAGAGTTTGTGAAAAGCAGTCATTTGAGATAAGGTGTATTGAAGTTAGAGAGCAGGGAGTTTTAAATAACAAATGGAGGAGTTCATACTTGTTCCAAGGTCAGTAAGGAGATACTAAAGGTTTTTTAGCAGGAGAGTGACTTGGCTAGAACTGTGTGTAAAGATGGAAGATGGATTGGAAAATTAGCCGACTTAGAAAGATCTTATTAGAAAGAAGAGATGAAAAGGATCCAAATTAAGATGCTGGCCATGGGAATGAAGTGAAAGGATGGATATAAACAGGGAGATGATGATAAATGTTTAACAACTAGCTCTCCAAAAACAAATAAAATTAATTCCTCACACACTTTTAAACTTAATCTGAATTATTTACATTTTTGCATCACTTTCTTAAGTTTACACAATCAATAAAACAATACATCAAAACATGATTTGTAGCCATTTACTTCTTTCAGAGGTATAAATGCTCACACTGAAAATTCTACAATGTGTTTTGAGCCAGTTTGAGTTGGCTCCAGCATATCCCCAGAGACAAAAGACTTAGAAATTGAACTGATAAATGTGGCAACTGATCAAATATGAGGGAAGGGTGCAGAAAAGGGAAGAGTCAGTCACTCAACAAGTGCTTACTTTATTAAGTGCTTACTATGTGCTAGGCACCATGCTAAGCACTGGGGATAGAAAGAAGGACAAAAAAGAGAAGAAAATAGTCTCTACCTTTACAGAGTATATATTTCAATGGGGGAGAAGTCAAAGATGACTCCACATTTTTGGAATCTGGGTATCTAGCCTTTGACAGAAATAGGGAAGTTTGGAGAACAAACAAGGAAGAAGATGAGTTGTATTTTGAATATATTGAGTGTGAGATACAAATGTGATGGATGGAAAATGTGAGAACGAATAACAGGACTGAAGTTAAAGAGAATGCCTTGGGTTGGATCAATAAATCTTCTAGATATCATATTCATAAAGATTATGATTGAATCAATGGGAGTTAATAAGATCATTAAGGGAGACAATGTAAAGAAAGAATGGCACTATGTGTGTGTGTGTGTGTGTGTGTGTGTGTGTGTGTGTGTGTGTGTGTAGAGGCTGGATGAGGAAGAATAGTAGGAATAAAAGCACTGAAAAGAAAATGTGCAGAATTTAGGAAGGCCCTGGAACTAAATGATTTGCCTCCAGATCTTTATAGTTGGTTTTGGCTCAAGGTTGACTTATTCTCTTTGACCATTTGGGAAATGGTCTCCTGATATAATCTGGAACAACACCTTTATGGTGGACTAAGGATGCCAAACTGTCTCCAACGTCAAGAGCGTTTTAGTTGGGCAAATATTACA